CTTATAACCTGATAGCATACAGACGAACTTTGATGGGAATCCAGTCGAGTAGTGTAACTTTGGCTCGAGCGTTTAGTGTGACTGACACAAATAAGGCTGGATGTCGATGCCACAGGTTCACCAGATAAGAACACATAAAACGTACTTTTCGAGCTGACAGATGAGAAACTAATTTGAGGCACTTCATTACAATCTTGTTTGAGGGCCTCCGAGATGCATCGAACATCAATATCGAGGCTTTTCAGAGTCCTAGACAAACCTGTCTGTTTTCCGATCTGCATCAAGTTACAAACGTTGAAAGTGGCGAGCATAAATGGTACGCATGGTTTCACGATAGTTGTGTCAGATGTCGCACTGAAAGATAGTTTTATAGGGCCAACTGTTTAGCGACTCAAAACGGTACAGACAAACTAGAAATCTCAGCAATGGAGACTAGTTGAGTGAAGTGAGGATAAAGACAAAAGTGAAAGTGGCAATAATAAAAAAAATATATAGTTCATTTTTAAAAACAACATAAACAATATGATATAAATAAGTTGAACCTGGAGCCCGTGAGCACCATTGGTTTGGAATCAGGGTTTCCCCACTCCCCTAGGTGGACCTGCAGCATCCTCCAATCCGATGGTAAACACCGGACATTCGTTTTCATCCTTCCACTTCTGTGGAAAACACCCCTGCCCATGAAAGCAGTGAATAGGACTTCTCTGTCAGAGGCTGTGAACGCATACCAGAATATTTATTTATCACTGACAGACACTTGCCATATTACTTGACCTGAAGACGACATTCGACTCTGTCGACTGAGAGGTGTTGTGGCAGTGTCCAACTGGAGACAGTACGGAACAAGTGTAACGCAAATCAAAGCTCTCTACTCAAACTCACGTAACCGTGAAAAGGTTTATGGAGACTTGTCATCTGAATTGACGACAACTAGTGGTTTTTCCCAGGGATCCCAGCTGTCACCTTTCCTATATATATATATATATATATATATATATATATATATATATATATATATATATATATATATATATATGTCACAGGGGTTGATCTATTTGCTAGAGGACATCTGGTTTACTAGGATTCCGCAGAAGACATCGTCCTACTAGGTGAAGATGCTAACGAAACACTGCGTCTTGTAAACGCCTAGAGTAAACATTTGAGTATCCTTGGCATTCGTTTCGCATTTGTTGATTGTAAGATAACGCTTCTGGACTGGTCTGCAACTACTCAGAGTGTAGAGAAAGCGAGTGAAGTGGTGGAATATGTTGACCACCTCACTCACTTGGATAGTTGTTTCAGACTGACTGGTTGCTGACGAAATTTTGGCTTAGACACGAAAGACCTGTTTGGCATTTGCAACTTGCGTCATTCCTGGTACCAACTAGCGGAATATTCAAATGCCCGTTAAAAGGCGAGTTTATTGTGCTTCAGTCCGTTCTGTCCTACTGTACGACTGTGAGACATTGTTTTTAAAGGTAGTGAATATGCTGAAATTACACGTTTTCGACAGTAAATTTTCCACAGCATTACGTATGATGGTGTTACCATGTGAATAGTGTCTAGGTCAGGCAAGGGGTACTAGACAAGGTAAGCAGGTCAATGATGTTGTAAATCTCCACCACCGAGATGACTTGGATATGTGTTCCGCAGTCCAACCCGTCGTCTACAACGTGGAATGCTAACCGAAATTAGATTAGGTTGGAAGAACGCTCATAATGGCTAGATCAAGATGTATCAGTTCATGAAGCCTCTGTTGGTTTGGGCCGTTTAGATAGATAAAGACTGCCTGGTCCGAGTCCTCAATACGATAGGAATGAGTAGTTGAAAATCACTAATGGAACAACTGAAGATGGTTCACAACGATGCAGATGTATTTTCTCTTTGATGTCTTCTAAAGTTCGAACATTTTCGCCAACTTTGATTTTCTAATTCTTTCTTCCATACACCTTTTTCTACTTTGATATTAATCTCTCTCTACCCAATTGTCCTTCGCATGCTACTGTAAAGTGTGGTATATTGAATCGATGCATTTCTGTGATAGGTTCTACGTTGGTTTTGTCTGTCTGTATGCTAATGGTAAGATTTCAAACCGTATTTCTAAAGCCCGAGTAACCTACACCACCATCTCTGGTGCCGTTGTGACGTTAAACTGGCTGTCAAAGGTTTGTGTTTTAGTATATGCTCGTTAAACCTGGATTCCAAAATGATGTCCAGAGTTTGTTCAATTATTGTATTCCGCATAGGACTAATCGCATTCTGCGAGAGTACAACGTGGACACTTCTGAGTAAACTCATCTTGAAATTACCTTCGGTAACTTAGCCATTGGCTACAAATATTGTTCAAGTGGCTTCTTTAGCATCCATTTTTTGATAGCTCTGTGGGCTGATAAGAAGCAGAGAAAAGATAAAACGCCACCGAAAGAGGCTACAAACCACACTTATTGTGTGGGGGCTTATAATACTAATCTGTTGCCTAGGTTAAAGTTCGTAAATTCGTATGTGAACCCAAGATGCACTGCTCAAAGTTGTACACTTTAGCCAATAACCCACGCGAAGAAGCGGTCGGTGTAGGATGTGTTACTGCGGCTTAGAAAATATTTGTTTTAAGTTAGCATCTGGATGTTGGGTCCAAGGGATTATGCGACTCAGCTGCTCGAGATATAGCTTGAAATTGAAACCAGTAGTAATCATGCTATTTATTTGTATCCTCTGTTGGCGAAAGTAATATAAACAATGAAAGTTTTTTTAAAAGTATCTTATGAAACCAAGTGTTTGATTACTCTTTCTTTCAATTCTTGTCCTAGCCTTTTTCGCTTTTGGTTTCGTAGTGTTGTATCACATTGCGTCATACCTTTTGGTGCTCTTGTGTACCGTGTTTCTGTTTAACATGAAGTAAACAAACTAGCTGCGTCACACATTGCTTCACAGCTTATAATACTATATGATTGTCCAAACCGTGCATGCATGTAGTTATGTGAAACGTATTCCACTAACCTCAGTCAAAAGTTCATAATCTCCAGCTGGATAACATTACTTGACTAAAATTCTGTGTCTAACCTCTGCATTCTTCACTATCTTTTCACCGTACATGAGAAATGTGACAGAGATGTGTAGCATGAAGCCACCCCTACATCTACTTTCAACGGTCTTATATCACTGCTGTAAAGTAGGTTGGAGCAAATCGTGAAGCAACTTAGTTATCCCTTGCTTTGTCATCGGATGTTCCATCTGTGTAATAGGTGGTATTAGTTGACAAATGCTAAATAGACCATCTTTATTCAGGTTAAGGTTTCATCACTAACCAGCTCTTTAGGGATCGTCAATGCATCCCACCGCTTAACTACCAATCTTTAATCTAGAGCTTCGTGTAGATTTATCCTCAAGCTACATTTTTAATTTTATGGGCGCAAGATGCGTACCAAGTGTCCTCTGATTTTCGCATCCTTGCGTAATAGGAGTATATCGCCTGCATATTTTATGTAAACCAAATGCTCCCTCGATATCTTCCTGTGGATTTGTACTTCTAAGTATCATGTTAGTTCCTCAGATACCAAGTAAAAATCTTGATGGATAGTGAAACTATCAATTGGTTTGAAGCCAATCGACAAGAAGCCCTGGACGTAGATTTAGTTCTTGTTGTCACTCACCAGGAAGGCGTATCCTCAACCTCTAAGGAATCGATTTCCCCTGTCTCTTCAAAATCGAGTCTTTGACGGATGAACATAGGAGAATTCATCTGACTTATGAATGTGCCTAAGTTGTACACGTGCAGCCTCACCATGGAGCACTGGAGCCGGTTTTCCAAATCCTAACAAAGATGAGTAGGATATAAAAAACACTAAACTAAGAAGAATTGAAGGAACCAATGGTTTATGTTTACAGTTTTTTAAATGGTAACAGGTATACCTTACCTCTGTTTGGGCAATTAGTTAATATCATAAACCATAGCACATCAAGTTTAACTAATAGTCTAGTACATGACCCTGTACCAAGTTAAGTTACATTAGTATTCATTTTCATTCAGTCATCAATAGTTGACCTAAAAAATCGTAGTTGTAATGTTTTCACGTAATACCATATACTATATCCCTTTCCATTTCAGGTTGTGTACATAGAATTACACTTAATCATAGCGCCCAAGTTCTGCTTGGAATTGATTTAGGTAGTAGTTTTGGTTTAGAGATCCTGTCATTTTTTTAACCATTTTGTCTCAGCTTCCAGTTAGATAATATCCGAATATTATTTTGAGATTCATAACTACCATGGATACATTGTCCCACCTGATTAGTAAGTAGCCTACATCTGACAAATATGCGAAAGTAATAACCTTTCAACATAAGTGTATTTTGTTATCTGATGACAGTGATCTAGGCTGGCTGTTTCAGTCACTTCAACTGTTATTCAGAGAGTTATCGGTTGAAACGAAACGCTTCACTTCAATTTTAATTGTTTGAAACAAATGATCAACTGACTTTGCATAAGCTTTGGTATAAACTGTGGTAATAACGCTGATAAACGATACCAATTTACTTTAACATCCACTTGAAATGCAAAGGCTGTTGAAGCTGCAGTGTTTTTGTCTGGTAAGTGCAGTCTAAAAACCAAACGCAGCATGTATTAGACTGAGAGACATTAATTACATAAATCCAAACTTCTAGCAGACTTCACACTGTAACTGGTCGAGTGGATTTAACCTATGGTATTATGAGTTCACCTAGGCGACTGAACTAAGACTATGCTGAAGAATGCGCAAATCTCTACCATTATAAGTAAGGTTTAACCACTTCATGATTCTTTTGTAATTTCGTAATTTAACTGTCGAAAACCGGTCATATTGTTGTATATGTTACTTGTTACTTCTATATCACTCAACGTTCATAGAAACTGACTGGACTAGAAACTTTTGACGTGATGACAAATAATACATCATCATCCGATTTTTGTACGGCCAACGCATGTTTATTTTAATTGATAATGCACTGTCTATTCCACTTTAGAATTCACCAAACTGTTTCACTGAACTTGAATAAACTGACTAATGGGGAAGAAAAAGCTCAGTAGTTCTGAGGCTCCATGTGAGTTTATTTTCAGTGCACATGGTCTGGAGAATCTGGAGTCTTCGTACCCTACACTTTTAAAAGGTAATTTTTTCAACATGATCTATTCTTGTAGTTGCCGGGTCATATGAACTGCCTTTACTAGATTTATCTTCTATTCAAATGGAATTGGAGCAGATTCTCGTTAGCGTTGTGGAACGTATCGTTTGCCTAAAAGCTGAGTCGGAACGCAAAGATTTACCTCTTAATGTCATTTCTGCAATAAAACGTCATCAAGTTAATAGTGAACCTGAATCCAATCAAACTTGCCTCTCCAAACCTTCGTTGGTTGTAAAAGCGAATCCTGACAAACCACTCACTTTAATCATATCTCAGCGTTCAGGCCCTTGTTCTACCTCTCAGTCAATACTGCCTACTGTTTCAGCTGGAGTGAGCAAGGCCAAGCCTTCAGTCAATGCATTTGGCTTACGACGATCTAGCAGGGTAAGACAGATTTCAAGTTTTGATCATGTTTTCGTATATATTTTGGAACGTCTTATTATTTATCACACCACTACGTCTATCAACTGTCGATATTATTACGTAAGGACTGTTTGTTACATAATTTAATACGTTACTTGATGTTGGTGGTACAAGAATTGACAAGTAGATAACAACGGATATACTTACGGGTTCTTACGTCACGATTTATATGCATAATTTGATTTGATATCCCGAAGGGAGGGATGAAGTGGTCCATAAAATAATAAAAGGCTAACCATGCTTGTTTGTTTGTGTGAAGCAACACAAAGCCACTCCGCTGCATCGATTCGAATCGCCACAGTTTGAAGTAGCAAATAATCTAAAACGGAAAGAGGTTTGGATCATTTATGAAATAACAAGTTGGGGAATTAGTAAATGTGGATTATAATGTTCAAGACTTAGATATTGAACGGTTCATGCACCTGTATCGTCATGGTGATTTTGTAAAATAGATACAATAAGGTTGATTTTACGTTGATCGCATCCAGAAAGCATCTATTTATTCATGTGGTTTAAGGTAAATGAGTAACTTCATGAATAAACAAGTTTTGATATGACTTGTTGATATTTCATTGTTTATAAATGACAACACTGACACCCATATTATGGTACCTAAATGCTTGTCATCCAAAGTTCGTTGGCGTCTTTCACTACTTCAAAACTGTACCATATAATCAGTGACAAGCGATTAGTCTCATACAGAATTACTGCTGTCTTAGCAGTCATTATCCACTGGTACCACGTGTTTTCAACTACAGTATTCACAAGGTCAATAAACAAAATTCCTCTGGTTATTACTGCTTAAGTTATGTTTTCCAAAATGTCATTCATCAAGAATTTGTAACCGTTAAACATTCAGATATCTTGTTAATCACACTACAAAATTTAGACTTGACGAATTTCTACAGGGAAGGCTAAACGGATAAAATCTCGTATTAGTTTCTACTTGTTCCCTCCTAAAATTTCCCCTGTATATTCTCATTCTAGTCCTTTAATTTTAAGTACTTTTTGTGTGATTCAGTCACTTTCGATACGAAAACCCTTTGTGCATCATTGAGCATTTAACACCGCGTAAATAGTTGTTCAATGACAGCACATGAAGCTATCACAGTTACTCATTTTACATTTTTAACTTTATACTGAGTGATAATTGAAGACGAAGTGAAAATTTGAACCGCAGCCGGACTCGAGCCAGTGTTCACTGAGTTTCCTGCCCGATACTCTATCAACTGAGCTATGAGGTCCGACTGCTGACCAGATTTTTATTCCACTTCAATCACCATGATTATTGCCCGACTACCATGTGAATTCGTGATGCGTTGCTACCGCTTGTCTGTATTCACACTGTCAGTATGTCCTAAAGACAAGGGTAATATATGCTTTTTCATTCATTACTCTTTATGATTAACTTGTTTTATTTTACAGTTTAAAGTTCCTGAGATGTTAAGATACTTCAGTGAATTCAACTTCATAATAATTATAATGGTTCAGGTTCATTCACTGTTTATCATCTTCTAAGGCTTGAAGGTCCTTTTACTTTTCATTTACTAATCCCTCGTACCACTTATATTCTGAATTATTTTTATATTTTCATATTCCTGTTGATATTTTCCTACCCTCTAAGTTTTAAATTGGTGTTTCCCAAAAACGGTGGTACTTAAACTGATACTGAGAGTTCTGTCTAGAAAAATCATAAGCTTTGAAAGCAACAAAACTATTGGGATACTTTTCCATAGAATAAGGTTGATTACTGACTAAGCTGAATTTCACGACATACTTAAGATGTGAATTCTAAGACTTACGACTGATTTAGTGAACAGCTACCAATAATCAATTAATGACCTGATTTTAGATGACATCTGTTTCAAATATATTCGGAAAACATCGGTCCTCCCTCATACTTATTTTCTTGTAACTTTTCTATCCTCTTCTATGATGTTGAGAAGATTAGTAACTTAACGTAGTTGATTACTATTCATGATTTTAGATTCGAAAACAATCAGCACAGTTTCTCACTTGCCTAGTCTTTTGAAAAAAGGATTGTGTTCTTTTCTTATAATGTTTTATACACCAATTCCTTAATATGAATTTGAAAAGAGTAAAAAAACAATAGGAGCAGGATAAAACAGATCCATTTTATTTCCGTGATATCTTGTCAACTGTGCGCAACCTAGAATATCGAAATATATAGTTTTACTGGAAATTTAACCTACTTTAATTCATTGAAAAAGAAACGGACAGAATTAGTCATAGATTAATAATAACAACAATAATGATGGCTTTATTCCAAACAACATGTTTGATACAGCATGGAATATTTCAACAAACTCACTTTCCATACAATATTTTTAAAAGAAATATTTATTTCGTCTGGATAGTGTTAGTAATAACAGTATTGAAGGCATAAATGTGAAATGAGCAGCTAGCGTTACATTAGTATCTGTTCTCGATTCGGAAATTAACACAAAGTCGAGTGTAATTTTCTATGATGACAGTTCAGTCAGTCAGCCAGCCAGCACAGAAACTCACAACCCCATACGGGTATCCTAGGAATAGTAATGCGATGTATTTATGGGTATTTACGAACCCAGCGACGGAAGGTTTTTCCCTTTATTTGTTCTTAACTTGAGAAACGAAAGTTCAAGAACACTGAAAACATGCAAGAGTACATCCTGCGTTCAGGAGACAAAATGATTAAAACATACTGAAAAGGAAGAATTTGACATAATATAGTCAGTGGAAAGTTTTCTGGTAGCCCAATATTTAAGCAGATCGCCTGGCATTAAAAGTCAGTCATAACGGTAAATTCAAGGAGAGAATAAAAGATCATAATTACATACATAATCTAATGGAAGTTTCTCGAATAAAATAACGACAAGATTAAGTAAGTAGGTCATACGACAAATAAGAAAAATACTGTGAGCTAAGCTTAGTTACTTTTTAAAAAATCGATAGGAACAAAAGATGACGTAAACAAATAAGAATAAATAAGCATACAAGGTTGATAAAGGATGACGTAATCACATAACAGTCAAGAGGGGTTACCAAGGTGGACAGCGGTTGATTTTAGCTTCCTTTTGGACACCTAAATCTGGTTTGAGACGTTTAATTGCAGTAGCTCCAGCAAACTTTAGACAGACAGACAACCACAGAAGTGCTTCGGTGCAAGATACCACACCTCACAGCAGAATGCAAAAAACAATTGGGTAAAAGAAGAGTAATATTAAAGTAGACATATGCGTATGGAGGAAGGTAAAAGAATCGAACAATTGAGGTTAGCTCAAACATTTAAGCCTTAAAAAGACGTCAACGCGTGAACACATCTACACCATTTTACCGATTTCCAGCCATGTCACCAAAAGTATTCAACCACTGATTCCTTTCGTCTCAGTAACCCCAGCCAGACAGTCTACATCTCCCCCACCCTGTTCAAACCAACAGTCAAAGACTTCATCGACTGGTGCCAGCTTCCTTTAGCATGACACGTCGAGGTAGGCGGTTGCTCGGCATGTGCAGTACATGTCCAAGCCACCTCAGCCGATAAAAGTTAACAATCTCATCAATCGGCTTACCTTTCCCGCCTAGTACTGTTTGCGTGACTTCAACGTTGCTCACACGGTGATCCCACCAAACGTGAGCAATGTTAGAAAGACATGTGTAGTCAAAACGCCCTAATCGCTTTATATCTTTTACTTTTAACAACCATACCTCACAACCGTATAACAGGACAAAAGGGACTGCATTGCAGTATACTTGTCCTTTGATAGATGGTCGAATATCTCGCCGGTGCCAGAGATGATGCAAGCTGACAAGTGCGAAACGGGTGTCTATCCGAGCTGAGATTTCGTGAGAAGACTTCAGTACAATTCAGCTCGTGCGTTTATTTATTATCTTGAAGGTATTGAAGACATCAGTTTGATGTTCAATATCAATCGGTGCCGAGTGATTGCACTGTTCAAACTATTACTTCTCCCGAGTTGTAAGCTCTTAGGAATGTGTTCAGAAAATCTAAGATAGACCCTTCTTTCAGTGTTTCTGCTTCGACGACTACACGTAAATTAATGTACACAGATGCAGATAACATAGGAAGGATACCAGTCGACTTTTGGTACAGATAACTTAACCTAGTTGCAGGGAAACTTCTAACCAGTAATGTCTAATAGTTCCTACAATATCATCATCTTTTAAATTGAGGCGGGTAAAAACAAGCTTTTTGCTGACTTTATCTTCCTTCGACTTTTTGTTTCCTGTTTTTATGTCTATTGATAAAGGCTTGTGGGTATGCATTATCCCGTAAGCGTCTTTCAGCTGCTTACGACTCTTCCTCTACTTTATCACTAGCGCATATATCATTCTAACTCTGTAAAATAGGGTTTTAACTAATCCTCGCTAGTAGTCAGTCGGACAAGTAGATACCGTTCCACGTGCTTTTACGATGAGCGAACCTCTGAAGAGTACCATGCAATCTACGTTGTATGGGAACATCCAAAAAATTGAGCTTTCCATCATTTTGTATTGCATGTTAAGTTTAATATTGCTATGGGCGTTATTAAAACGTTCTAACAAATGAGACGCATCATCTTTTGTTCCTGTCGAATATTTTTTAACTAACGTCAAGTCAGTGCTCCTGTATGGTTCAGAGACTTGGCGCGTTACGAAAGGCATTTCCAACAAGCTACAGACATTCATCAACAACTGTCTACACTGGCTCGTTACTGAAGCTCAGATGGCCAGAGTAGTCAGAATAAGCAACAAGGAACTCTGGCCAGCTGGCGGGCAACGAACCAACCAAGAAGCTATCGCTCAACAAATATGCAGAAGGAAGTGGAGATGGATTGGATTGAGCATATACTGAGAAGGCCGACTGGGGACATCACTCGTCAGGCCAGGCCAGGTGGTCGAGTGGAACCCAATGGGAAGTGACGAGTTGGGCGTGTGAGACGAGGGTGACATGGAGGAGATCGTGCGAGGAGGAAATGAGAGTTTGTGGGCTGTTGTGGAGCCAGGTTCAAAAGATTTCAGAGAACATAGCGCATTGGAGACGTGCTGCTGAAGCCCTATGCTCCATTAGGAATCCAAGGGACAAATAATAATATTAATAATAATAATAGAGTTCAGGCCACAATATTTTCCTTATTTCTCGTATAACCTACTTATGTAATCGTATAGTGTTAAATCCTTCAATATTTTGATCAATACCCTTGTCGTTATCTTATTCGAGAAACTTCCATCAGATTATGTATATAATTATGATCATTTATTAACTCTGCTTGAATTTGCCGTTATCATTGACCTTCAATCTATGAGTAATTCTGTCCGTTTCTCTTTCAATGAATTAAAATGCTTTAAGTTTTCAGTAAAAATATGTATATATTGTTATTCTAGATTGTGCTAAGTTGACGAGATATCACCGAAATAAAGTGGAATTGTTTTATCCTGCTCCTATTGTTATTTTTTCTGTTTTCAATTTCTGTATGCAATGAAAAATTGTTTTACTTTCCTGGTTTATATAATTCCTATTGAACAAGTTACAGGTATCAAACTTGATACAAATGAATGAAGCTAGTAATTAAAGAAGCAGTTTCTAGTTGATTCTTTACCATAATTCTCTTAGTTATCCATCTGAATACTTGTTTTTTTATCTATGCACTGAAAATTTTTGAAATTACGTAACACTGTTTCATAGGTATTATTCTGATAACTTATGATGAAGTAACAGCGCACTTTTCACCCGAAAAATCATTCATTTTTCTATTTCTTTCTTCGTAGTAATTTCTTGGTATATTTTTCGATACTGCTCAGCAGTTTTTTTTACAGTAAAACTATCCTTTCATCTTTATCGATGATATTAATTAGAAAAAATTATCTTCATAATTGCTCATTCATGACTGCAGTCTTTCAACTCGTGTACCTAGCTCACACTGTAGCTTTTGTTCGGTGGTATTTCTGCTATTATGTTTTGGAAATACTAATTTCTGAAATTTTCTTGTTGAAATGGTTTCTTTTAGTGTGTGCAACACTTTGACCTGTGATCTTATAAATGTGTAGAAATCTTGAGGTTTTTTTTTATAGATCTAGTAATAACTTGATTTCTGACTAGTCTCATTGTTGATGATCAATTGGTAGTGAAAAATGAATTTTGATTTTAAAATTTCTTCTTTCCTGTGTATGAGATGAATACCATCCAGTTCATACGTACGCAATCCTTCTATTAATGTGCAATATTTGTTCCACTTTTGAATATATAGTGACTCACTTAATGATTCATTGAACTTCATCTGTCTTTATAAAGTAAAATGATCAGGTAAAGGAACATGCACTTTGTGATGATCCTTAAATTCATAGCATTTCTCAGTAAAATATCTGTTATTTCTTCTTTTTTTTCCAGTCTTCTATCGAAGAAGTATCTGAACTGAATTCCCCATCATCTACTGACAAAAATCAATTGGCCTTAAGGTAATTATTATGTGTTTACTGATAAATAACATTTTATTATTTGTAATTACATAGTTAGCAACAGTAAGTGATGTTTGTTACTTTTGTCAACTCCTTTAATGTGTTTTCTTGCAGTTTGTTGTTTCCTCAACAAGTATCTCAGCATCAGTTTCTGCGAACAACTGGAAAAAAGATGAAATGCAGACATTTTGTTGAATAAAATGATAAATTATGTTATCTCCGTTACTGGTTGAGAGTTTAATTTTATATCTAGGGTTCTTAAAATAATAACTTATTTCATGACAAAGATGGATAATGGCTAGCATCAGAATTCAAGACGTTCATCTTACCATATTTTGGACCGGTATCAATTAACGACGGGAAATCGCAAGCCATAACATCAAACTACGCTCGTCGCACAAATAATAACTATCTTTTTCCAATGGTCCAGTAAATAATCCTGTGGCCTTTGAAACAATGGGTCCTGCGTCCGAGTCTATATAAGAATAACACTACTCACTGGGAATCAGAAACATCCAACTGATGAGTCCCAACTAGCAAGAAACGCGTATCCTGGATTCCACTGCTAGCCACTGTACATTACTTCCGTAAAACAGAAATTACTGGCAATATCAAAACATCTACTCAGGACTTCATATGTCAGTAGTGACCGATCAAGTTCTGTCCAATCAACAACGGGGAATTAAAAACCAAAACATCACCACTTTATCTAGCTTATTGATCTTTCTGGTCTTTATTTATATTTTTCTGCTCTCTCTAATGAAATTCATAGATTTGTTCACACTTATCCCGAATTCGAGCTGTTCATTGAACACACAGTAAAAGATACTGATGTCTCGGCTTGTCTACCTTCTGAGATGTATTCTTACCATCATATCAAATAGAATTATTTACAGTACCATTCCAGAAATAATTCTGCCGATATTTCTAATGCATCTCAATGTATGGACTATGTATCAATAATGTTTTCTGTACACTTACGAAACAAGAGTTGAAGTTCTTAGCACTGGTTTCTAAAAACCAACCAACCTCTTAAGGTACATATTTATCATTAAAACATATTACATGACTCAGCCCAATAGTTCAGCGTTTTCGTGTGTCCAAATACATTTCCGTTGATGAATTTTTATATTCTCAGAGATCATACAATACTGTGCACCTTACCCTCGTACTACTCTTATAGGGATTTTACTACATGCGAACGATATTACCAGGGAAGCAGAGGTCAAATAACCGAAGCACTCACAGACTATTTAACCTTAATGGATCTTTTTCACACAATAAACTTCAGTGTGATACAATCGACTCTGAATACCTATTCGGATACGTCGTTAATCTTAGATGTGATGTTAACCTGAGAAAGTCGATCATACGAATAAAGTCAGCATAAGACTGCAAAAGGTGCTACTTACATTCGCTAAACTACATTCTACGTGTAAAATTGACAGAACGCTTTTTGTCTTGTGAATAATAGTTACTTATTACGGCTATATTCTGAATCATATTACTTTTTTCAGAATGTGACTACTGCAAACCGAGTGCTTATGCAGATATTTGGATAATCTTGAATTTCAGAGTAGTAGATGGTTGATAAACATTTTTTTCTCTTATTTTTTTCGTGCTGTAATGGAGTTTAAAGAATAAAATATTCATATGAAAATAACTAAATGTCTCATAAAAAATGTAGAATTTCTATGTCTACCATGACCACATCCCCTCTCTTTTAAGTGCGATATTTGCAAACTGAAGAAACAGCTACTCGTCTTTATATAGTAGGTTCTAACATCATCCCAGTGTGTCTAAAAAATCAAAACAAGGTTTTTGTAAATATTTCACTGTGTATTCCACAGCTTCTTCAGGAGAATATTCGGATTTTTACTGAGGATCTTTATTAAAAATCCGAATATTCTCCTAAAGAAGCTGTGGCATATATAGTGAAATGTTCACAAAAAACCTTATTTTGATTTTCTAGATACGCTGGGATTATATTAAAACTAACTTGTATAATGATTATATCAGATTCGGTGCCCAGATTCTTCCAAGACAATCGGAACAACTGTGGATTAGATCTTTATAATTTCTAGTTTGTGTGCGAATATGCAACAGATCCCCACCACATGTATGAATGAAATCTATGAAGAGTTTGCTCATTATGGAATGAATCAGTTCATCATAAATAAGGCAGCATTCATCACACACTGACATTAGTTGAAGAACCGCTAAAAACCTGCGATCATTCGACAGCTGCTTCGTCCTAATATGGTACTCCTCAGCAGCATGCACCCACGACCCGTATAGACGCCAAACCTTCAGGTTTCATGGCGAACACGTTAACCATCCAGCCACTAGGTCGGAGTTCAGTGATTCACAGTTCCATATTTCTGCCAGTTGGCGATACACCGAGATTATCACCCAAGGTCTTCAGTTGGCATCCGCTTCACTTCTGACTAGTTGACTCCACAGATCACGGCTTCTCATTAAAACTTTGGGATATCCATCACTAATGAGCACTATACAGTAATGTATTTTGAGGTCAATGGGGACTTATTTTTAAAGTAGCAATCATCATGGACTGATGAATTAGTCATCATAAATAGATTCACGTTGATTGTTTACACAAAGTGATCAAATTTTTAATTTTGGTAATATTAGTTAAAAATCCCTACTATTGTTGTGAATATGAACAGCTAGTTCTTGCTCGATATCTTGCCAGAATTTAAAAATCAAATCATTATATGTGAACATTCGTTCAAAATGTGTGTACCACAAATAGAATCCGTACCAGTTTAAACAAACATACCAACACAAAACCATGGTTATAAAGCCTCGGTGAACTTGTACTGTCTCAAGTATCTGTACAAAATGATCTTGAACATAGCCAGTGATTGTGGTAAGCAAAATAACAAAGACAAATTTAAAATGTAAATTACAAAGGTTTAATTGGTAGAAATGTAGTGAAAATACGTCTGACAGTTGTGGCCTGCAAGAGTATAGTGTGGCAGCGTTAGAAATTCAAGATTTACGATATCTAGAAGGTATTTTCAACACCGCCTACCGCGAAATGCAATGCTAGCTGAAGTTGAACTCGGTTGAAAGAAGACCCATAGTTGCCAGACCAAGGCATTACATTAGTCCATGAAGTCTCTGACTTTTGCTCTGAGCCATATAAGGAGGTATAGTGTCTAGTTGTGGTCCTTGGCGCTGCAGGAACCAATAGTTGGAGATACTTGGTGACCTGGTTGAAAATCGGTCACACTGGCGCGATGTATTCACTCTTCGACGTTTAAAGTTTGGACATTTTCGCTAACCTTGATCTTCGAATTCTTTCTTCTTTGGTATACCTTTTTTTACTTTATTATCAATTTTTCTCTACTCTTTAGCGTGCCGCTGTAGCAGTAGTGTAGTATTTTGAACCGATGCACTCCTGTGACAGGTTCTACGTTGATTTTGTCTGTCTGTCAGCGCTTAGAGTTTGGATGAAATAACGTATTTATTCACCTAAGATAAAATAAGCGAATAGAGGAAAAATTTCGAAAGAACTCTAGTCGGTTCAATTTTTCTTCAAATTAACACAAACGTGTTAATACATTGCATAGTTAGTTACCTTCTGGAATAAATAGAAACATCCTCTAGTACAAAGTTATTATTAATGTTTCAAAACCTCTTGTAGTATACTAATAAAATGGACTCGACAATATTCTGGTACCCACACTGCATAACAATATTCTGCAACATCAAACTTATTCAGTCAATACAACAAAATATACAAAATGAAATTTTGTTTATTTGAACACAGAAGATTCATTTTGTGTGGTTTATTAAATTCAGAGGAAGCTTTCAAAAGGTGTAAGTAAATCCAACATATGATTGTCATGTGCTAGTCATCTGCCCTCCAATACTACTGATTAATTTATTTATACATCACTTCACTGACTTCCGAAACATCTCATATTGTTAGTTGAATGCCATATATTGTTATTCAGTAGAATATGTACATAGATTAGTGACATCGTGTTGGTCTTCAAGACATTGTTCATAGAAATGATTTCTCTTTTAGCCATATGATAAATGCGAGATGATTCGATCTGACATTATTTGTTCAACTGATGAGCGTTTCTTCTTTGTCTATCATTCAGTTAATCATAGATACTTTACTCATCAGACAACAAGTTAATGTAAAGTATTGTTGAATCTATACTTTGCTTATATTTATTCGCTCTATGGAATAAAATAGTCTATCACTAAATAAACACCCATGTTAGAATAGGATTTTTGGATTTTGTTTTCATCATACTCCAGCACAAGAGCAACTTTACTGTAGGATATTCAGGCAATACCCAGGCATCCGCATAGGAGCCCATATGTTAACAGACGTTGATGGGTTCGATCCAGTATAACAACAGAGACTTACAAGTATATCACCGAATAATAATTTACTGGATGAGTTTTTTTTGAACGATTCTATTCCAGCAGTTTCCTATGTAGTGTGTATTCGTGAAGACTGTAAATTTTTGGTTTATTTCTAAAATAGTCTGCTCTTGTTACTGTCCGACAACCTGGCAACAAATTGTTTTCCAGTTATCGATAACTATATATCAGAGCCTGAAGGCATAGCAATCAATCTGTCTAAGACGAACACTACTCATTAATACAAGAGTAAAACTCGGGTACTGTGCTAGATTGTAATTCCATTTTAGTCTGTTTATTAGATGTGTCACGCAGAGAAACAGTATTACATACTGGAGAAGGTTTTCGACATATGAATATGGACAATAAATTATGTCCGAAACGTTACCCAGGAAACATTAATCGTGATCTTCAAGATGTCAGTGCTGTTTATGATGCAATTTTTCTTGGAAATTTAAAGTTGGGTGGTTTCGTGTGAGCCCTATATATTGAACAGGTAGACACCAATTCTCTTGATAGGTCTTTTAGCTTTGTACACTAGCTGTGAAAAATTCCACTTAACCTTGTACTTGACAATCGTACTAATTACTTTTAAAAGTAAGGTTTGTATAGAAATGTGACATAATGGAAAAAATCTGCCATAAATTGTATTTCCTGAGTTAAACTGGTTGAGGCGGTTCTGAGGTAAGTAGTCACTTGACGTTTTACAGCGTTTATTACTTATTCACAGGAGTTTCTTCACTCAGTGTCTTACCCTAATCAGTGACAAAATAAATAAGGAAAGCGCCTGACAGAGGCAATGACATCATGCTTTGAACCAAAAACTATTCCTGTGTTAAAACATAACAAATCACTCACTAAAACTACAGAGCCTATGACTGGTTCCTTAAGGCGCTCAACTCTTGCCCAGCCGGCCATGTGCTTTAATTGTCCTACACCCACAGTAGTTTAAGCAACCAGTCAGCTGTATTAAAAACTTCAAGAAAGTAGTTCACGCTTATACCATTTATAAACGTGACTTGAATCATAAGCAGTAGCAACTTAACACTTAGTTGATGCTTTTCATCTCCTAGACATTTACTTACCTTTTCGTACTTTTTTCACTTTTCATGTTATATCTTTAGTTATGCTATTCCAAACAAATTTTGGGAGCTTATGGAACCTTACTGTGCCGAAATAACAGAGGCAAATATCAGTTACTTGGAGGGTCTTATCCGATCTTATCAACACATAGAATCAATTTATTTTCATCTACCTACGCTAAGACAAAGTGAAGCGTGTAAAAGTGAAACTATCGAGGCACCAGGTTAGTGTCATTGATGCAATCATCTCTTATTTTGTTCACTGAGTTTTTGCTAATTTATCGCCGTGAAATATTCACTTGTCGCTTGTACTTTAGACAGTGTCATTGATATATGGCATGTAAAAGTTATAGGAGACGTTTCATGTAGTAGATAATGTTGATTTAATCATCACCGAGTTAAGTGGAAAGTCACTAATCTACTCCGATATTGTCACCCAGACGACAACCACGAGCACACTGAGGGAGTGGCTATCATGATGTCTCCAAGAACATCGAAGGCTCTCATGCAGTGGGAACCAGTTTCCTCCAGGATCATGACAGCAAGATTCAACTCAAAAGGAAGGAAAGTCACAATCATTCAATGCTACGCTACGTGCCAACAAATAATGCAGATCAAGAGAAGAAGAAGAAGGAATTCTACAGACAACTCCAATCAGTACCAGACAAGACTCCATTTGGTGACATCAAAATTCCAGTGGGCGACATAAATGCCAAACTTGGAGCAAACAACACACGAAGAAAATCCATCATGGGTCGAGAAGCACTAGGTGAAATAAATGCGAACGGAGAACTGTTTGCAGATTTCTGCAACGATTTGGTGATTGGAGGCAGTGTGTACAAACACAAGGATATTCACAAGGTAGCGACATGGATTTGATTTCACCAGATGAACACACTACACTAAAAATCAGATCGACTTCATCTCAATGTGAAGAAAGTGGAGACGCAGTCAGCCTACTGGACACAAGATCAGAGCAAGAAGAGGAGCAGATGTAGGTTCAGACCATTCACTATCTAGTGCAAGGATGCACAACGAAAAGATGAACTGAGTATAACCTATAAAACACTGGACAAGGAAGTTAAGAAAAGTGCACACAGAGACAAGAGACACTTCTACGACACATTGACAAACGAAACAGAATAGGCTACCGGTAGGAGAGACCTGACAACATTATATCGAACAACCAGGTTACTATTCGGGAAGAAATCAACGCAGATGAAACCAATGGAAGTGAAGTAAACTTAGTTACCAAAGAGGAGAAACAAAGAAAATAATGCGCTGACCACTTCAAAAAGCTCTTGAATCGACCACCACCACCTGCAACTCGTCCAGAAATACCACCAGCAACGGCAAAACTACCAGTGAACACAGGCCCTCGGACAAAAGCAGAAGTCCTGAATGCCATAAAACTGCTGAAATCCAGGAAAGCAGCAGGACGAGATGGAATTCCACCAGAAGCACTGAAAACACGCAGAGACAACAACGAACATGCTCACACCACTACTGCAGAAGATTTGGAAGGAAGGGAAGGTACCTGCAGACTGGAAGAAGGGTTACCTTATCAAACTGCCGAAGAAGGAGACCTAAGCCTTTGCAAGAACTGGCGAGGAATCATTCTCCTGTCCATCCAAGGCAAGCAAAATATTAAGCCGCATCATGCTGGAGAGACTAAAAGACGCTCTGGATTCAAAATTATGACCGGAAAAGGAAGAACAATTCGTGTGTGGATGAAATTGCAATGCTACATGTCATCATGGAACAGAGTATAGAATGACAGTCAACTCTCTACCGCAACTTCATCGACTTTGAAAAGACCTTCGACAGCGTCGACCGAGAAGTAATTTGGCAGGCAGCTGCTTCAACACTACAGTTTTAGTGCCACAAATCTTTATCAACCTCATTCAACAGCTATATGAAAACGCCACATACCAAGTGATCCACAATGGAAAGCTGAGTGACGCCTTTGAAGTGAAGACAGGAGTAAGACAAGGCTGCCTACTATTACCCATGATCTTCCTGATTGTGGTGGACTGGATCATGCAGCAAACAGTGAGGAGCGAGAAGAGGGGCATACGCTGGCTGGAATGATGAAGAGAGCCTAAAAGATTTGGATTTCACCCACGATGATTATTTACGTTTAATGCCTTGTCGCACAAACTCGAAGATCTACAGGCAAAAGCTAACAAGTTGACAGAAGAGTCAGAGCAGCGAAGGAAGACGGGACATTCTTCAGGTGAATGTAGCGAAGTCGGAGGTGATGAAGATACCCAACCAACAATAGCATCAACAGCAAGCACCAATCCCTATTAAAGGGAGAAATCTAAAGGAAGTAGTCCCTTTCACCTACGTGCCTAGGCAGCATCGTTTCAATTACAGGTGGCGGTGGCGGCACAGATGAGAATGTCAAAGCCAGCCAGGATCAGATAAACAGCAAGACAGGCTTTCATTAACCTGAAATCAGTGTGGAGATCTACTGCACTGCACTCATCATAAAGTATGATTAAGATCCGGATTTTCAACACTAATGTCAATCAAGTCAGTGCTTCTGTGGTGGTTGAGAGACTTGGCGCGTTACGAAAAGCATTTCCAACAAACTACAGACACCCATCATCAACACCTGCCGTCTACACTCACTCGATACTGAAGGTCAGATCAGATGGCCGGAATAATAAGAATAAGCAAGAAGAAACTCTGGCCTGTCAACAAACCAACAAGGAACCTATCACCCAACAAATATGCCGGAGGAAGTGGAAATGGATTGTGCATACACTGAGAAGGCCGACTGGGGACATCACACTCCAGGCCAGCCCCTCGAGTTTAATCCAAAGGGGGAACGACGAGTTGGGCATCCCAGCTGGGGGTGACATAGAGATCATTTGAGGAAGTGAAAAACTGGGCAGTCGTGAAGCGAGGTTCAAAAGACTACAGAGAAGAGAGTGCAATAGAGGCGTACTACTGAAGCCGTATGTTCCACTAGGAACCCAAGGGAAAAATAATAATAATGATAATATAGTGTAAGAAGTTAGCATTACTGCTACCGTAAATCCTATCTAATCTACTGACTGAAAGCTGTACCATGAATCCGTGACCATTAAGTCATTGGGATGGAAACTAGTTCCATATTAGATTTGTTTATATGATATAGAGCACAGTAATACAATATTACCCTCTTGATGATGCTTGGAGCCTAAATTACTGCTCATAATCATATCAAAGTAATCGAAAGCTATGTGATTACTTTGATATGTTTATGAACGAGAGTTTATGCTCGAAGCGTCGTCAAGTCAGTAATATTTTATAGTCATGGTTATCGGCATTTTCCGAACTAGGTAATTCATACATTATATCCATCCTCCATTATTATCGATTAGTGTTTCTTTTCATTACCAAACTAGATTACTCGATAATTCTTTATATATATATCTTATTATGCATGGAAGTTTCCTGTCTTTTTATTTTTGAATAAATCATATCTCTTCTTTTCTTCTACTCAGCTCAAAAAAGACTTAGGCGTGAGTCTTCTCATACTATTCATCAATCAACAGCTGATGAATCTTCATGTTCGTTTAACAACTGTAATTCATTCATGACTGCATCTCAAATGCTCAATGTAACTAAGTGTTTAGAAGCAGAACTTAAGTAAGTTAAATGGTAATGACTGATAGCAGGATTTTTGTCTTTTAGTAAATATTTCATAAGTTTTGTTTAGTCTGACCATACTGACTACTTAGAAGTGTTGATGAACATTGCTAATTACTGAAAAAGCCCATCAGGATATTAGAGAAAACAAAAAGTTGAGAGAAAGAAATCTTTTTTGGCGATTTTATTCTTCATACCAGTGCAATCGCCATTCATACATTTTTGTTCAAATGTATCGGATATTTACAAGAATTATGTAATTAAGCTTACTAACAAAGATCACAAATATATAAATTGCGTTTGTACAGCTATGGAGAATAAAATCACCGAAAAAGAATACTGCTAACGCCTGTACAAAAGTCATATTGATAACCAAAAGAAATTTGTCTATTCCCGCTTTAATTTATGCTCTGGATACTTTGTTTATACAAAAGCAAAATATCACACTGTCCCACTGATTAGGGAAGTAATTGGTATGGAACCAGGTAAACTCTTCAGTTTCATTACCTGATTTATCTAATGGCTATGAATATAGTTTGTATACTGCTACGCAATTGTGACTCCTATTCACCTTACTGCCCAAATATATCGTGATTTTTGATGGTGGTTGGCTACCGAATCCAATGAATACAAGACATGATATTATCAACTGTTCTACTAGCATTTCGTTTCTGATGCACAAACTGTACATCTTTGCAGATAACATGTCCACAGTTTTACAACAAACTATAAATATAACAAGACTGTTTACAGTTAATTGACTGTTAGTTTCGAATTATGTGTGAAACAATAATTAAAGAGTCGAAAAGAAGCTTATAAAAAATAGTTATAAAATGATATCTATGAAAATCGCTATTGAAGATTATGCATCCATCCAGATCAACCTAGGACCAGACATTACTGCGTGACGGTCCGAGTTGCCACACCTCATATCAGTACATCAAGTAAAAAGGCAGTGAGGCTCAAGATGAAGGAAGGAGAATGCAGTCAAAAGAAATGTAAAGTACGAGAAGAAAGAAAGGAAGAATGACAAAATGGTGAGATTCGGTATAGTGTTAAGATGAGGATAATGTATGATGTATACATCTGCGCCACTGACATTGGTTCTCAGCCTATGCCATCATCTAGAGTCTCCAACCACTGGTTCTTCTTGTCTCTCGGACTCCAACCATCTAGTCTGCATCGCCCCACATGATTCAAACCAACAGTCAGAGACTTCATACATTGGTGCCATGTTATAGTCTGGCCACCGAGGGCCTTTTTCCAATCTGGACTTACTTTAGCCAACATTGTGTGACGAGGCAATCAGCGACTAGGCATACGTAACACGTGTCGCAATCATCTTAGTCGATGAAGGTTCATAACCTTGTCGACTGATTTACCTCTATTCCATAAAACTTTACACCTGACTTCTGCGTTATTCACGTGGTGACACCATGGAATACGACCTATACTACGAAGGCAACGGTGGTCAAACACCTGAAACCTTCTCATGTCTTCCACCTTCAATGGCCGTGTTTCACAGCCATATAGTAGAACAGAGCGGACTCCTGTGCCGGTACAGTATACGCTACCCTTAATAGGCAATCGGATATCATGGCAGCGCCCCAGGTGGAGTAAATTGGCAAAAGCCAACCGAGTCTTTTGTATTTTTGAAGAGATTTCACCGGCCACTGACCCACCAGGGCTGATCCTACTTCCCAAATAAATGAAGTAGTCGACACACTCAACCACTTCACTCTCTATTGTTAGCCGAGGAACCATTGAAGACCAGTCCTGGAGCAACAATTTCCATCTGGGTAGTGAGAAACGCATCCCAAACATTCTCAAATTGCTACTCAAAGTGTTCAGAAGACTCTGCATCTTGTCAGCGTCTTCACCTAATAGGACTATGTCATCTGCATATTCTAGGTCTAAAGAAAATTCACCTGTGATTGGGTCAATGTCTGTATAATCAGGTGACGAGAGGGAAACCGCCATAAGAATATCTATGATAAAATTAAATAAGAATGGAGATAGTGGGCATCCTTGACGGACACCACTCGATGAGTATAGCTCCCTGGACAACTCGCCATAGGCTCTAACATGCCCACAAGTGTTCGAGTAGAGAGTTTTCAATAAGGTGATGTACTTACTAGGCACGCCTTTCAGTGACAGACATTGCCATAAGACTTCTCGATCGACGGAGTCAAATGCCGCCTTCAGGTAGAGAAATACAGCTATTGTCGGGCGTCTGTAAGCATGCCTATGTTCCAGGACCTGGCGCAGTGTGGATATTTGGTCGATACATCCATGGCCAGGTCTAAAGCCTGCCTGGTTTTCTCGGGCTTGCTGTTCCTGAGCTCCACTCAGGCGTCGGAGAATTACAGAACCTAGGATTTTGGATACTATGTTCGTCAGGCTGATTCCTTTGTGGTTATCGCAAGAGGACGTCTCGCCTTTCTTGAAGACTGGGATAATCAGTGACTTTAACCAGTCAGAGGGGATTGTATTTGATTCCCGTGTACTAGCTAAAACTTCCGTTAGCCTGACTAAGAGCACTCTATCACCATTCTTGTATACCTCAGCAGGTAGTCCGTCTGGTCCTGCTGCCCTTCCTCGTTTCAGGTTACCTACTGCTCTCTCGACTTCTTCTAGTGTTGGGAGACCCATCTCAATGTTCCATTCAGGATCCGACTGGATAGCGGGCAATGCAATAGTGGCTGGAGGCCAGTTAAACTGTTCCTCAAAGTGTTCTGCCCATCGTTCCGGTCGTCTCCTTTGTGAGTGAATCGCAGATCTGTCCTTCTCCGCTATGGTCTCACTGACCTCAGTCGATCTTTTTCCCCCAGTTTCCTTAATAAGTCTAAATAACTGTCTAGTGTTACCAATCGCCGCCGCCTTTCCCATCTCTTTAGCCTTCGCTGCTCACCACTGTTCGTGATCGTTGCGTAGACTTTTTCTCAGTCTACTTTTAAGTTGCGCCCGCTCTTCATTGTACTCAGAGCCTGCAGGCAGAGATGCGTTCACGTGCATCTATTAGTTCGTAAGTTGCTGCTGATATTCACTGGCTCTTTTTATCCACTATTTTGGAATCGGCTACGGTCTTCAGCGCTGCTTTCACGGCAGACTGGAGATGGCACCAAGCTTCTTTTGGCTGGGTGATAGTCTTCTGTTCCGATAACTTCCTAGCCAACTTCTCAATGAACACGGCTTCGGTGTTTTCGTTATCCAGCTATTGAAGATAAACCCAACCATCGAATAAAATGTAGCTAACCGAACTCCATATCTTCCTTTTTTTATCTTATTAAAACAGTAATGAGCTTCTCATGTTTTCTGGTTGGTTTTCTACCTGGTGCTTAATCAAAAATTGGACTTAGTTAAGTCTCCCCAGTAATTGATAGTTACTACGACCCGTCTGATTACTCGACTGTACACGAATGAAACCATTTAAGAAGTGTGAGGGATTATGATTTTAACCAGGTTCATAAGTTCTTAAGTTTTAGGATCTTAAAGTAGCTTGACTATTGAGACGTGTGTATAATCCCTTAACAAATGATTTTCTCTGCTTTTTTGATTATTATACCCTACTTACCAGAATAAAAAGCAATATTAAGCAATTTTCATATGCAAGTTGTATATCTATGTGTGTTTTAGTCGACAAAATAGATAGTCAAACTCGTGCATTTCAACTATTGAAGTTCATGCATATGGAATTACGCTAATCCCCATCACTGACTGTATAGTTTATCAATACCTGATTTAATTTCGCCATTTCATCTTCAAACACATGAAGTCCGTTTAGAGAGATACTATCCGACTTTGATCTTCTTGATAAACATAAGGACTCTTAGGAATATTTTCAAAAGTAGGAACAAGAACCCTTATGTATCTTTTTTTGTCTTCAGTGTATGAGTTCATGATTTCGAACAAGTACTCAGTACAAATATACAGTGTATTAACTCCAGATCAACTTCCAAAACATATGTTAGCTGGTGATGATAGGTGTTAATAGCATTACGTAAGTATGACGTGTTGCATAAAATCACATTGGTGCACAGGTATTGATTATTGATTCACTTTTTCATCATCATCATCATCATCATATATATATATATATATATATATATATATATATATATATATATATAACCAATAGATTGGGGGGGGGGCGGGGGGCTGCGCCTCATTATTAGTCTAGTCTCACTCCTCCTACCAAAGTCTGGGCGACCACTTAGTATGTGGTCCATCGCCTACTGCAGGCACGTGATCGGGGTTGCTGAGTACATCGTGATGTTTTTTTTCAAATCAATAGGTTGCAGGATGATACGATCCATTTTTGAGCATGAGTGCAAAATCAGTGAAATATTCTAATCGTTTTGAAACTATACCAATTGCTATCATAATGCGCGTTGTGGGACGATATGCAGGATTACTGTGAAGTACTGTATCCATGTAAAGCTTTCCTACTAGTTTTATTTGCTTTTCCTAATATGGTGAGAGTCTTCGATAGTCATCCACACGTAACATGATAATTCATCACTGCAATCGATCGGCTAAATATATCTAACATGCTGAAAACTAGCCACACTCAAGCGTGATCAGACGGATTCAATTACTGTGAAATGCAGAAATTTTATTTTCCCTAAATGATGACTAACCTTCCATTCTCGTAAATAACTTCTAGTGTCAATGCCTTTCTCATAATGTCTGTACTCTCTTTTTTTTGAAAACATGGTCTTATTATCTTATAGTTTCCTATGCACCTGTATTTGATTACTCTTTTATGTCATGATCATGTTTGGTTCATTTATTATATGATAATTGTTAATTTTTGTCCATTGGCTTCATTTTTATCAATTAAGGAAACCCATTCCTGAGTCTTCTATGTTATGCAAAATATCACAAACTCTCCTGGAATCATGTTATCAAGAAGATATATTGTCAAGTTTCAGTGGGAAACTAAATTGCTCAAAACAAAAAGGTATCCTCTACTCATTTGATCGATTCATTAATTTATTTGTAAATTTACTATGTTACACTTTAATTTTAACATCATGACTAGAAAGTAGCAATGTTGTTCGTGCTCTCAAGTCACACACCCTAACCTTCATATATCCTGACATTAATTTTTTTTTCAATTTTGGAGATATAGTGGTATTCAGTAAGTAAGGTTGTATTCGTCGATGAGATTTGTGTTGGAAACCTCTTTGCATGCATCCAAAAAGATTTAGATTCTCACTGACATCTTTTTGTCTTCTGTAATGTTTTTTAACTTAAGTGACTGATCTATCTAGAAGTTTTTTCCCTTAGTATATCAGTTAGATTGACTGGTGAGATAAGATACCAGTAGCTTGAAAGCATGAATTAAGATGATAAGTCAAACGATAATCTCCGATAGATCTCTTCGGAGTGCTGACCCAGTAGAATGGTAACAGAAGAATGAGCGACTACAATGATATACTGATTACAATATTTTTGTGACACCAAGTTTAACTTTTGTGCAACTAACGCATTGATGCATTCAGATATTGTTACTGTCAGTTCGCTGAATTGAAAGTCAGAAGAGACTCAGTGATATGGTGTTATTGCTTGATTATATTTATCAAGATTTTGACAGCAGGGTGGTGTCATTTGCTGTTACAAAGTACGATCCACAAATTAGTATATGAAAATGCAGGTAGTTGACATTCTATAGTACCTCTTCATTTATTCCTTCATTTGGTTCCTACTGAAATCATTTTGTTATGAATCGGAGTAATACTGGATTCTGGACATCAGTTCTGACAGTACTTCAGCTACAAATTTACTCAACTCATATTAAAAAGAAAACGACTGAATTTGAGAAATTTACTTCAACTGAAGAGTTTGAAGTATCTGTGAAGCTTGCTCGTTTTCTTATAATAATGATGTCCTTGGTGAACATAACTTAAGTGGCGTATTAAGAGCCATTGCGAAAGTAATATCATTTAGAGGGGGTGAAAATAAGTGGTGCTCGAAAGGTGAAAGGAGGTAAACAAAAGATAAATTGAAATTCTACAATGTAAATTTCACAAAAATGCAAGTAATGGATCCTGGAAATCAGACATCCTCCAACACACCCTATGAGTCATTTTAACTTTGAAATCAAACTTCAGCAATAGTTACTTGTGTACAAGAATTTCATCGGGCAATGTTATTTTGGGTGTTGTTATGTCTATACTCAGAAATTCGTGACATAAACTCGAAATAAGTTGCCAAATTTTTCCACAGTAGTTGGTTCTTGATTGTACATAATGAATACCATTTTATTGAAATAACTAGAAAATAAACCCTAGAACATGTGGATTTCGCGGATGATGATTTATGTCTAATGTCACAAAACTCAAAGATCTACAGGCGAAAACTAACAAGTTGGCAGAAGAGGCAGCGAAGACGGGACTTCAGATGAACGTAGAGAAAATAGAGGTGAGGAAGATACCCAACCAACAACAAGCACCCATCACCATCAATGGGAGAGGCTGAAAGGAAGTTGTCTCTTTCACCTACCTTCCTAAGCAACATCGTTTCAACTACAGGTGGCGGCGGCGGCGGCACAGATGAGGATGTTAAGGCCAGCCAGGATCAGAAAAACAGCAAGACAGGCCTTCATTAACCTGAAATCAGTGTGGAGATCTACTGCACTGCACTCAGCATAAAGTGTGAACAAGATCCAGATTTTCAACACTAATGTCAATCAAGTCAGTGCTTCTGTGGTGGTTGAGAGACTTGGCGCGTTACGAAAAGCATTTCCAACAAACTACAGACACCCATCATCAACACCTGCCGTCTACACTCACTCGATACTGAAGGTCAGATCAGATGGCCGGAATAATAAGAATAAGCAAGAAGAAACTCTGGCCTGTCAACGAACCAGCTAGGTACCTACAGCCCAACAACTATGCAGAGGAAGAAAGTGGAGATGGATTAAATTGGATTGGACATACACTGAGAAGACCGTTTGGGGACATCATGTGACAGGACAGGCCGTCGAGTGGACCCGAACTGGGAGACGATGAGTTGGGCGTCTGAGAGTGAAATGGAGAAGATCGTGTGAGTAAGAAATGGAAGCTTGTGGTTAGTTGTAGAGCCAGATTGAAAAGAGTGCAGAGAAGAGAATGAAATGGTGACGTGCTACTGAAGCCCTATGATTCACTAGAAACCCAAGGGACAAATAATAATGGTAAACACAATTTATTGCAAACTTTCTATTAAAAATAGACTGACAGTTTTGAAACATTCCTCCAACACATATTGTAGGCTCTTTATGAGGTTTGAATTGTAGACTGTTGACATGCCAACCTACAGGGTTAACAGTGTCTGTGAATACAAAGAGCTGGGAATGTTGGTAGGGTTTAGATGTTCCTTGATGACCTCTTGATGTATGAATTGATCCAAGTAAGTAGTGGTTATTAATTGTAAATAAGAAATATGGGTAAGTAATCATAGCCAGTTTGTACAGATCTCTATCACTAGAAGTTTTCCATAACTTTTCTGGCTTCTGTCTTTGTAGGCAATATGTTTTATGCTGAAAATAAACATACCAGTGGCTTGCACTAGATATTTAGTGTTATGATTATATGTTACATTTTTAAGGTAGTATTCATCACGAACCGACATCAGTTGGAGGGCCGTCGCAAACCTGAGAACACTGGGCAGGTATTGTACCCTAATATGAGACTCCTCAGAAGTACGTGCCCACTACTCTACTAGGGACCGAACTCAGCCAGCCGAAGATGTTGAATGATCGTAGCGCTATACCGTGAATTGACAGAGGTAGGAAATAGTGGGTCATTAAGCTCCAACCCAGTGGCTGAATGGTTAACGTGTTCGCTGTGAAACCTAAAGGTCCTTAGTTTGATCCTTGGTGAAGTCGTTGGTGCGTACCACTGAGTCCCGTACTAGGATGAAACAGCTTTTCAGTCCTCCCCGTTAACCTCAAAGTTATATATTTTATGTAAAATTAGGTTTATTTTAGGTTTAAACGAATTCGAAAATTTGTACTACAAAAGTTTGGGTAATTAGTCGTTGACGGAATCGGATAAAGAAGGTTACTGATTATGGTTTAAACAGGAGCTAGCTGTAAATAGATTAGGTGGAAATAACAGTTGAAAGTGGAAATTTAAGAGATAAAAGATTACTTGACCACTGAGGTGAAACGAAACACTTTTAATTAACAACCGAAAGAAGCGTTGTATAAAAGTATGATGTGGTAACTTTCTATGCATACAATTCTGGTTCCATTATTTTCATATCAACAGCTTAAGCCGTTTTTTTAAGAGAACTTTCAGTTTGATTATCTGGGTGACATCAATTTCTTGAAAGCTAATCACAGTCTTTACTTCACCTTCAGTCAGTATCGCTGATAGGTATTCTCCAACTTGTTGTGACGTACGCATAATGCTCCCAGATAACTATATCGATGTATCCAGTTGTAAAAGGCAGCCCCAAAGTGATTGTTGAGAATATCACATTTTGTAGAAGTCAATGGTGTTTGTTCGTGATAATTAGCTCCACTATTTCATTTTCTCCAAGTAGGCTTTATTGACTCACCTTTCGCTGTAAAGAACATATGAGTAGAATTTGACACTAGTAATTTGTATTTCCATTTTAATTTGTTTATTAAATATATCATACAGTGAAGCAGTTTGTTTACTCAATAACTTTTCAGACACAATTTATTGTCTATACTCGTCTACAGTTCTGTAGACAGTAGACAATAAATTGTTTCCAAAATATTATCCGATACAAAGAAGATAATTGTTGTCGTTGTTATCAACCAGTGTTTGTCGTTGGCATATTCTTAACCATAAAGCATTTTATTAAAATCTAAAGACCTTAAAACAAAGTAGGTTTTTTCGAAGTGTTCCGTAAGCGGAAATTCTAATGTTATATGGGGACAAGTACCCAACGATAACATTGGATGAGGGTTGAACTATGTCTCAAATTGACAGAGGCTGAAAACTGTGGACCATTGGATTCTGACCCAGTGGCTCAATAGTAACGTGCTCACCGCGGGACCTAAAGATCCTGTCTCCGATCCCTGGCGAAGTCATGGTTCAACGCTGTTGAAGAGTCCCATACTACGACGAAACATCTGTCCAGTGTTTCTCTGGTTGGTATCACTTCGTGATGGATAGATACCACCTTGATGCATATGCACATATCAAGTTTCTGTAAAAACCGATATGGTTGGTTGCCACCTCTTTCATTTCCAATGAAGTTACTTAAAGTGGAGCCGTGACTCATTGTCTAGTGCATCGAATCACACATGGTTTAATAGATTTCTTTTAGTAGTACAATACTGTGGTTGGTGTAAAAAGCATTTTATTGCATCTAATGCAGTTACGAAGCTTTCTGACATTCTTGAAAGCCATACTAATCATCTGTGGTCTACAAATACCTATCTGTTGTTGTATTTGGTTTTAGAAAAGGTCGACCTAATATTCCTTTTGTACTGTTTTCATGTATGCATTCAAACAGTTCGAAACCAGTCTTCATATCTCACCTTTCGTTCAGTTGTACATCTGATTTGAAGATATAAGGATGAGTTACTTGGTAAATGTGTCTTAAAGACTTGTCTTAATCCCTTCAACCATTTCTTCATCCACTGTCACTCACTTATCAAAATTTTAGTAATGCGTACGTGATTTACAAGTCTATCAATATTATCGCTTGGTATCTAACTTCCTATCTAATTTATTCTTTCATTTATTCATCAAGCTGTCTCGAATCATGAAGCTGAAGATAATTATTCAGGTTGTACTGACCCTAGTGGATCAGATTATGGCAGTGTATCAACTGAGGCGTTGCCTACAAATGGATTTAACGATCTTCATGCTTCAAACACTATGCATTCACAAGTGAATCAGTCATTGTCTGGATTAACCTTAGCAAATCATAGTTTGTCAATTGACCCGAATTCGATCACTTTACATGCTAGTCAACCACTTAAGAGTATAGCCAAACAGTTTCATGTCAGCTCATCCTATCGAGTAGAAAAGAAGATTGCACAGGCGATCGATGAATTAGGTTTGTTTCCACTCAATATTTTGCATCCCAAAGCATCTCCTGTGGTTGAGTCCAAAGAAGATCTTAGCTCAAACAATTTATCATCCACTCCAACATGTAGTAATCATTCCTCTCGTGCTACAAAACTAATTATTCGAAAGAATAAAATCACTTCCTCAAATTCTACAAAATCGGGTTTGTTAAAGGTGTTGAATGATGGGCAAACACCACTTGATCGATGCTCTGGTCTTAAAAAACGCCGAATAATGAATGACAAAACACTATCCCCTTTACCAGAAGATGAAAGTATGTTTTCTTCCTTGTTATCTGATCAATTACAATTGTGTTTACGTTTTCATCTACTCATCGTACACTTGGTTCTTTTTGTTGACTAGATTATTTATTGCTTCGTTTTTCGTCTACTCATAAGTAACATAAAGTATAGTGTATAAAAATTATTGCACTCGTCATTTTAGGTAGCATCGGTAATTGATGTATCTGAATCCTATTCACTCTCATACTCAAATAAGATGCAAGTTCCATTAAATTTATCAAATATGTGTTTAAAAGGGAATAATTGTGATTATCTGAGTGTAGTTACTTGTGGATTTCTATTGATGGACTTCATAGTATTAGTGGACTCTCCAAAGCAATGCGGATAACTTAACGTCTCGCATAATCTCACAACACAACTTACCACCTTGATATCCACGAAAAGTTGTCATATATGTATATCCTGCCTGGGATGTCCAAAATGTGTTTTCTTTGAGTGATACGAAACTCAGATCATTCAAAATTATACAGTGATTTTTGCATTGTGGGATGTCTTAGAGGGTTAATTATATGAACTGTGAGTATTTTGTCTTATATAATTGTGGAGTAGTAGATTTTTAAAATACAGTGGTTATTGAAACCATCATCAGTGCGACATTTAATTTACTCATCTTGAGGCATTAAGGGTCGTTGTTAAAGTACTCAAATCAGATTGTCGATTCTCAGTTGTAACAGCTTTATTAGGCTGTGTCTTGGACAGGCATCGAACTAGACCAAGCATCTCTTCCCACCATGAGGTTTACAATAATATTGGTGAATGATTGTTTGGTAAAGAGTATTGAAGTGATAGGGTTTTGGTTCACTTCTATCGTGTTGGTTCAACAATTTCATTGTTTCAACTCACAGCAACCAATAACAATCCTCTTTTGATGGAGAGACAGAGTTGTTGTGACTGATGCTCATTTTCCTGAAAATCTACAGTTGATAGTTCTTCAGTCTCTATTTCCTGGTCCCAATCTAAAAGGCTTAAACAGGTTTCAAAGCTGGTCGATTATGCGTTGATGAAGTCTTCATACGGTAACAAATTTCAGAGCACTTATGTGATAATAGGTTTTATCTCTCCGGTTTGAGTTATCTTCATCTTCATTTGTATATAATTCCAGAATTACCCACATTTTAAAAAGAAATCCATGTGTTTGCGTCTGTCTTTAAGTGAAGTAACCATAATAGCTTCTCGCAGTTTAAGTTTTTCACCTGTGATTACTTACTCTATTATCCACCTACGACTCAGTCTGCTCATTATTTTATTCTGTTGGTCACTAGTCTTTTGAAAGTCCATATACAATTTTCTACTTGATATAAGAGCACGTTGTACATGATGTTCATTCTACATAAACCGAAATAACCAGTACTGCTACATTTGGAAAACGAAATTATTGGTTACTTTCAAAACCGTTCCAGGAAATTCTATTTAAGGATGAGATATTTTCGTTCTGTTGTTGTCACTGATAGTTGAATGGGTAACAGTAAAGTTGTAGTTTATTTTTATTTCACCTTGACGTTTAACATTGGGTTATGGTTTTGAAACTCACTTCACTTACTGAGGTTTTGACAGCCAGTTAATAACGTGGAAGTCAGGTGTAGAGTTTTAAGAAGAGTAAAGTCACTTGAGATTGTGAACCTTCGTCGACTGAGGTGGCTGGGATGTGTCGCCCATACCTAGTTACTGTCTGCTTCATTGTACAATATTAGCTGGAGTTGGTTGAGATTGGACAAAAGGTTAGAGGCGGCTAGATTAAAACATATCAGTCCCTGAAGTCTTTAGCCCCTGGTCTGAGATGTATGGGGGAATGTGAACACCCCGATTAGGGTCCTCCAGGTGATATCATTAGTAGTCCATCTCTGCGATGCAGATGTATCGACACATTATCCTCATCTTTAACGTGAAACTGAATGTGAGTATTCTCTCATTCTTCCTTGCCCTCTTTTGATGACATTATCATACTTTTGACTACTTTCTGTACTTCTTTGTCTTTTTTCTCAGTACTTTCTCATTTGTTGTGCTGATATGAGGTGTGACAACTTGGACCATTCAGCAAAAATGTCTGGTCTTACGTCTATCTATTAGAATGATTTACCATGAGGCAATATGTATGATTCATTCATCGCCTAGTGCAGTGCATACACATGTACGTGGTTACGTGATTTTTTTTAAACACTACATACCGCCAGTTTCCGTAATACAGTTAGTTATAGTGATTTAAACTCAAAAACTGTGGGTTCAATTGAAATAGCGGTTACATTAGGTTTCCCTAGTATGTTGGTTGAGTTAGGCAGTAGAATTCCAACTATCGTGTAACGAATTCATGTTCTAGATAATTCAAATATCTCATGGCTACAGTAAAGCAACTTAGTTTCCTTAGTTTTATGCGAGTAGTTTTCCTTTGATAATTCCTTCCCCGATTCTCTGCATTCCGAGTGGTCAGATTAACTAATGACGTCATGAATGCAACCTACTGTATCTTTTTGTATGTATGTATTTGGGGCTGTGGTTCGTTGGTGTACTAAGGTGACTTTCAACTAACAGGTCACGAGTTCGAACTCCGTCCCACCGTCTGAGGTTTGGGCAACCAGTTAGTTTCATTGGCTCTCACGCAACAGGTGTAGCTCATTGTCTAAGGCATCAGTGTGCACAAGGTTACTGAGTGCATTTCGGTTCGATTCTATTGTATGCACAGTATTATGCTTTTACTTAATAGGCCTCTGGAGATTCGTGGGCATAATACGAATGGCTCTTTTTGGTCATTGTCAACCGAAAATATTTTAGGATATCTGTTTTGTATACTGAAGACTTACGTTTCTGGATTCAGGGTTTGTAAACATAATACGTTTGACAGGTCCAAATGTTTCTTTTTCATTGTTTTAGATATATCACTTCCAGCCAATAACTCGTTCTTACACTGCTCCACTGACTGAGTTGTAGACATTATTTCTATAGTTCATGATCTAGTTCTGGAATCTATGTGCACTTATTCAATCATCATAAGCTTTATAACTAACTAGTTGATTTAACCCACCTACAAACAAGACAGTGTATTGCCAGTTACTAAGTTGTAGTTGTACATTTTCTCCAAATACAAACTTCCTCATACTCAGTTGTGAGTGCTTCCATCGATTAAAAGAGGCTGATGAAGACGACAGCTTACTAATATGTGGCAAAACTGACAACTGTTTATATCGAAGAAACTGTCAAGAAGCATAGATCCTCCTCAATGATGTATTGGCTGTGTTTTCTACGTGTATAAAAACTAACATTAAAAAGCAATTAAAAGTGTAACAGTAACAAGACACATTAGAGTCATTCGTTTGCTCAATGAATCTTATCTGTTGATTCACTATCGTTTTACGACTTATTTAGTGACATGTCGAAATCTAAGGCAGCGGATAAATGTTAATGGTCACAATTGTTTACTTCATTAACATTTTCAGTAATTTATAAAGACTTCTTCTTGTAATCAATATGTTTACTTTTTACACATTGAAGTATGTTGACTATTGATTTGAAATTATTTATCGATTTAATTAATCGATTCTCAGTTAATCTCAAGCGTAATTAATTCAACAGTGTACACATTCGGTCCTTATGCTTACATGTAGCATGTATACCCTTTGTCATTAATCTAAACTGTGTGATTTTTTGACTTCTCAAAAACTCATTTAAAATTTTGTACTTTTGTGAGCCAATACTGCCATTATGTTAGGCCTAGTTCGTTTACGACCTCGGTCTTCAAAAGATAACTTATTACCTTATCAAGTATATCAACTACAGTTTGATATATGTATTATACAGGTTACCATTACTCTCAGTTTCAATCAAATATGAAGTGGTAAGACTTAATGAATCACTGAAAACAAAAGAGTATTAAGCTCCTATTTCTAAGTAAAGTATGGTCTCATTTTATACTTACCTTTATTGACATCCAGGTAGAGGGATCCTCTGGCTCTCGATTGGTCCAGTCGGAATCCAAAGTTATCGATTACTAGAATTAACCCCCACTTTGAGCAACGACATCTTGTTCACCGTATAACTTGATAGTGATAGATTACATCAGTAAACTGGTAAGACTTAATGAATCACTGAAAACAAAAGAGTATTAAGCTCCTATTTCTAAGTAAAGTATGGTCTCATTTTATACTTACCTTTATTGACATCCAGGTAGAGGGATCCTCTGGCTCTCGATTGGTCCAGTCGGAATCCAAAGTTATCGATTACTAGAATTAACCCCCACTTTGAGCAACGACATCTTGTTCACCGTATAACTTGATAGTGATAGATTACATCAGTAAACTGGTCGGCAAGGTGGACTTGTGTAAGAATTTAAATGAGGTGAAATTAGTTTTTTTTTGCAGCGAATAAAGTATACATGATTAATCTCAATTTGTATTGGAAATAAACCTCAATTGAAGGAAGCTCATAAGATAACCAACACAAAGACCTCAGAACTGACCGATAAGTTAGACCACTATTTACTATGTCGATTGACAACCTCGTTGAACTTGTTTCTCAGATGTTGAAGCAGTTTTTTTCTGTAAGCACAGGCACAAACTCATACCAAAGTCTTCACTCACCTTTGTCTAAGGAGATGAATTATTTTATTCATCTTCATAAAGAAGTTTCGTCCGATAGGCCATTTTGTTCATGATAAGTAATAACAGATTATTGATCAACATCAAAGTAGTGGTGTGTCAGTAAATGTTTACATTATGATAATTTACTTGATTGTGGCTAGCAAAGGAATCCAGGATGCACGTTTCCTCTGCTAGCGACACCCAAGTAAATTATAATAAATATTCAACCGCTGTCGAGACATCCTCATAGGAGCCCATATATCAACAGTGGTTGACCGATTCGATCCAGTATAACAACGGAGAATTACAAGTAAATCAACAAATAGTTATAAATGTTTACACTTTTTATTCACTCGTTTGCAACTCAGCATCCAAGTAAGAATTCATGCACTGGACAGTATTATTATAATAATAATAATTATTATTATTATTATTATTTGTCCCTTGGATTCCTAATGGAGCATAGGCCTTCAGTAGCACGTCTCTAGTGCATTCTGTTCCCTGAAATCTTTTGAACCTGGCTCCACAACAGCCCACAAGCTCTCATTTCCTCCTCGCACGACCTTCTCCATGTCACCCTCACCCTGGACGCCCAACCCGTCGCTTCCCACCCTTCTTCGGGAGTTTGACAAGGGAGCCCTTCTTCCAATCATTGGGCAGGTACCTTCCCTTCCTTCTAGACTTTCTGCAGTAGTGGTGTGAGCATGTCCACTGTTGTCCCTGCATCTGTTCTCAGTGCTTCTGGAGGGATTCCATCTGGTCTTGCTGCTTTCCCGCATTTCAGTAGCTTTATGAGGTTCACGACTTCGATTTTCATCGGAGGATTTGTGTTCACTGGTAGTTCTGTGGTTGCAGGTGATATTTGTGAACGAGTTGCAGGTGGTGGTCGATTCAAGAGCTTTCTGAAGTGGTTAGCCCATTGTTTCCTTTGTTTCTCATCTTTGGTGATTAGGTTCCCTTCATCATCTTTTATTGGTTTCATGTGTGTTGATCTCTTCCCTCCCAGATAGTAACCTGGTTATTTGATACAGTGTTATCACGTTTCTCTCTCCATATCTCCTACCAGCAGTCTGTTCTGTTTCACTTGTCAGTATGTCGTAGAAGTGTCTTTTGTCTTTGCGTGCACTCTTCTTCACTTCTTTGTCCAGTGTAGTGTTTTATACATTGTACTCAGTTCCTCTTCTCATTGTTCATCTTTGCACTGCACTGATTTATCTTCTGCTTCACCGTCCTCCTCTCCTCTATCAGCTTCCATGTGGAGGTCCGTCGAGATCCATTCCTTATATTCTTCCTTCTTCCTTCCTTATACGGTTATACAGGTTTATTTTTACATAGCTTTCAAAGAGTTTCAGTGTTCATCCCCACAGGTTTCTTCAGGGATGTTGCTCAATATTTCCCATTTTGTCTTGATGGTTGACGTGAAAATTTTATCTATAGTTTTTTCCTTAAACATGTGTGTTCTGGGTGTTCAGCTTGAACTGTGATCTATCACCAGCTTCCTTGAAGGCTTTTAACTTGATTTTGAAGGTTCCTTGCACTAGAAAGTGGTCTGTGCCTACATCTGCTCCCTTTCTTGATCTGATCTTGTGTCCAGTAGGCTGACTGTGTCTCCACTTTCTTCACATTGAGATGAAGTCGATCTGATTTTTAGTGTAGTGTGTCCATCTGGTGTTTGGTGAAATGAAATCCACGTCGCTGCCTTGTGGATATCTTTGTGCTTGAACACAGTGCCTAGCCTCCAATCACCAAATCGTTGAATACACAGAATTCTGCAAACAATTCTACATTCTCACTGATTCATTTGACCGAGTGCTTCTCCACCCATGGTTAGTTCTCTTCCTGTGTTTTCCACTCCTCGCAGTTTGGCATTCATGTCGCCCATTAGAATTTTCATGTGGCCAACTGGATTGGGCCACTGGATTGTCCAGTGTTCAGTGCAGTTGTCTGTAGAATTCCTCCTTCTTCTCTCAATCCGCATTATTTGTAGGTGCGTAGCATAGCTCAGCATTGTATGATTGTGACTTTCCTTCCTTCCTTCCTTCCTTTTGAGTTGAACCTTGCTGTCATGATCCTGATCCTCCTGATCCTGCCGGAGGAGATTGGTTCCCACTGCATGAGAGGAGAGCCTTTGATGCACTTGGGACGGCGACATCATGATAGCCACTCCAAACTCAGTGTGCTCGTCCGTGGTTGTCGTCTGGTTGACATTAACGGAGTAGATTATTGACTCTCCAGTTGACAGTTTCGAGAGTCCACTTCCACCATTCCACCTGCTTTCACAGATTCCTAGCACTTCAATGCTACACCTTCTCATCTCCTTTGCAATCTGGGCAGCATTGCCAGCTAGGTTCAAACATAGTGCGGACATTCCATGTCCCCACGTTTACTTTTGCTTTCATCGAGGGAGAGAAGACACATCGGCCCGGCTAATTGGCTTCCCGAAGGCAGGCTTTCACCCACTGGCATCCTTTTACCTCTCCGATTCCAGCGGAGAATAATTTTGTTTTTATTTTTCATATTTTGTTTGTGCTTTGAAGTTTCTTTAGTGATTGGATTAGTTTTACGAGGTAGGTTTGGTATCCCTATGCCCAACCTTCCCTGTTTATGCGGGCTTAGGACAGGCTAGTAACTAGTTAACTAGTTAACCAGACGAGGTTGCATTGGACAGTGAGCCACGCGTATTCTATAAGGATTAATCGTTCCGCTTGGCTATCAATTTTCCACTAGATGAAGCATACTTCAAATCAGTTGACAACAGTGTAGCTAACCCAACGAGCCATTTATAACCCCGCGTAGTGTGTTAGAAATAACTTTTCATCGTGAAATTATATCAGATAGCATATAGTTTAAGACTAGGAATCATTGAATTTGTCTCACTATGATTTTGTAGGGATTATGATGAAGGTTGTTTTTTTATCCGTCTTTTCTCAACTTATTGTATCTCATTACCACACTGCAACGTCCAGAAAGCTAAGGTCCTAGTAATGTAATTCAGAACGCTATTGGTTTCGCAAATCGAGTGCCTGTATGATATATTCATATTCACCCATTATCCTATACATGTTATTTCTTTCCAGATAATGTGGTGTCTGAAACAAATTCAGCTGATTTTGTGGATACTGAGAATCCTCCCATCGAAGTATCATCCTTAAAGATAAGAAATCCAGATGTTAGTCCAGTCAATACTACCAAAAAAGTCGAACGTTCTTGGCATAAAAAGATATCGAATCGAAAGAACTCAAGGAAGAATTCTAAAACGCTGCGCTATAAAAATAGATTACGGAACACTATAAATTGCAAAAATGAATTACTTTGCAATGGATTGTCTCCTGGTACTAACGATTTAACAATATCTAAAAAATCGGTAAGTGTTAACTAGTTAATGCATGAAATATCGTTTTTTAAAAATTTAAATGTAATTGTCGTCCTAGCCATTTCTCCACTACCCTCCAATTCACAGTTGGATTACCCCTCCCGACTGTATAGATGTTTACGTCACATCCCGCTGTGTATACCGATTTCTATGTGTGTACAGTGACACATACATTAGAAGGATAAATCGAATTATAAAGTCGTGGTGGTGGAGCATATTCCTGGATGGCTAGAAAGATAGTTACATTCAAATAACTTAATAAATATAGGGGGCAGATAGGCGTCATCATCCATAGGTAAACACATTATTAAATAGATCACATGATTGACCCCACAACATCCTTTAGACCACTATATAGGAGCCGTCATGATCTCATACTTAAGGTCATTAAAGCCTTAGCTATACGACAGTTCCAACCCCCTTTGTGTATTCAAAAACAATTTGTCAAGACCTTAAACCTACCTTGATAATCTTCATCTCATCTTAATGCCAAAGTAGGCGTGAAAATGTACTATTCTTCCTTATTATCCTTCTATTTTCCGAATGTTGTATTATCTTAGGTTGGAACTCATCATGAACTGACATCAGTTGGAGGGACATTGGAAATTTGGGAACACTGGACAGCTGTCATCCTAATATGGGACTCCTCAGCAGTGCGCACCCATGAACCTGCTAAGGATCGAACCTAAGACCTTCATACTAGGACGAAACAGCTGTCCAGTGCTCTCAGGTTTCCAGTGTTCCTTCAATTGATGTCAGTCCATGGTGAATTCCAATTTAAAATCAATTGATGAACCTCCACAAACCTTCAGATAGAAATCTTGTATTATCTTATAGAATATAAAATACCTTGACAAGTAAACGTGTGACCAGATTGTTCGAAATGTATTGCGCAAGTACATCACACTTATAACCTCCGTCTTCTTACTGTATTATGCAAATCAGTCCTTATTATTTAAATCCTTGAACACTCAGAAGTTCTTTCTTCGTAAATGAAGTGTTAGGTCAATTTTTTTCGGGCATACATTTCCCCCTCTAACTCATAATGCTCAGTTTTTAATTGTTGTTCAATTTTAGGATTGCACATCTGGTTCCCATAGAGACCAATATTCCCCCACCATTAATGATACCGAAAACTCCAATACCTCAGATGACTATCTTCAGGGACATGATCAGGAAGGTGATGTCAGTCTTCCATCAAGTCCCCATAGACGTAATAACTTTACTTCGCAGTTATCATGTGACAGTGATAAACGATCCAATGAATCAAGTTTAATGCACCATTCTCTAAGACATAGTCATTCCTCACCCTATCATTTGTCTGTGACTGATTGTAATGGAGATATCAAGCCTTCAAAAGAATTCTTAGAAAATCTTGAAGGAGCTCTTGTTAATGGTGATTCATCATTGTCTCATTTTGATACTGAGAAGTTGGTGGAACATGATCAATCAAGAGATAAACGGAATTCAGTCTGCAATACTTTTGATGAAGATTGTGAACCAGCTCAAGTACGTTTTCTGACCAGTCCCATTGATAAGTAGTTGGTAGAAGCAAGATTTGCAAAATATTAGGAAATGTTATGTTGTAAAATTTAAAAATTTTGTTTCTGGTTGCTTTTATATTATTGAATTCATTGCGTAAATAACCCTCTTACCTTCTTCAAGTTCATAGCAGTAAGGTCTTCACCTTGGAATGCTGTTGATGAAGAAGTTTCGAGGAAAAAGGGTTACGTTTGATGAACAACACTCAATATGACCACCTCTTTTTGTTTGAATTAAGATCCTTCAGCAATAAACTGCCATGAAAAACAATTGGTTCATGTTATCTGGGTTTATTTATTACGAAAGAATATGCTTAGAGTAGAATTTTCGTAAGTATAATTACCAATTTAACATAAACTGAACCGAGATCAAACGTGATGCTATAATTTTTCTGTCCATTTTGTTGCATTGCATTATCTCAGTGACTGCAAATAAAGTTGATAAAATTCAATGGGACAAAAATACCATTATCAAATTTTGTGAATACATAGAAGTGAAAGACAAAAATATATCGGACTAAAAAAATGATAAGGTGTCCACCATTTCCAAGATAAGTGAGGGGTTTGTTCGCAACTTGTTTGGGGTGGTATTATCTCAAGTTTCTAACCAACAATTTCGACTGCTTCACAAACTGTAGCCACACTACAGATTAACAATTAGAAACTTCATTTCGGTCTCACTAATCTGGTGCTTCTTATTTCTTATTTACCAACTTTCATTAATCGCAATATTGCTTATTGAGGTAAACAATGGCAAGGTATGCTTACCAAAGGTTTTTGCTATCTCACTCGGGTAGGTTCATCACCTGTGATTCACGCATAACCTTAGCGTTGTTTACTCATTTTTTTTCTACCACACACAAATGGTGCTTCTAAGAAACCAGTCATTAAATATTTGCGATAGTCCTGTCTTCATCCTTAATTTAACATGTTTAACTCATAACAGGAAACTGTTATGTAGTGCAATAAGACTATATAAAAATGATCATTAAAAAAAGACGTAGGGAAAGGTAGAATAAATAAATGGAAATTATTAAAATGTCTAGATCTCTAGGATGATGCAAAATGTTATACATTTGCACCAGTGTAACCGGGTTTGAGTTATATTAACAAGAGTTTCCAACTACTAATCTCCATTTTCGTAAGCATTCCAGTCAGGCAGTTTGCACCTCAATTGACTCAGATCACGAGTAGACGTTTTCATGGATATGGACCACGTTTTGGTCCAACCACCCTTGATCCTATTTCTAAGGATAAGTGCACAATACATGCACTTTCTGGCCACCTCAGCTCTGTGAGTTGGTGAGAAGAATTTCTTAATCATCATCTAACAGGTGCGAGATCCATGTCAAATATATCCAGAGTTTTGTTTAAGGCGTTCACAAGATGCTACATATCAGCATCTTTATCCAATATAATTATCGTCTATGCATAGCGATGTCCGAGAAGAATACCAATTTCCAATATGTCGGTGGATAGGATAGGGAGGATGACATTCATCAAAATATAATCAGGTGAAATAAGATTAGAAACAGCGCATCTCGTTAAGTATGAAGCTATTATATCATTCATGGAAAGTAAGAAACAATAGCTTATATTTCGATTGTTCTGTTTAAAGTGGTTTTCGATTTATGTGTAAGCTAACTTTATTAGTAAAAGTATTGTTTTCTGCTTTTCTGACAGATATTGGAATATGGATCACATCAGAAAGACGAAATATCGACCACTCCGTTTCATAACAATAGACTAAAGCTAAAAACGGAGTGCAACTGGCTGGAAAATACAAATAAAACAGATCATTTTGCAAGGAAGACTAGCCGTGAAACATCTCCTTTGATGCAAAATACTGATTTAAAGGTATCGAAACCTTATGTTGTTCCAAACACTCAGAACCACACGATATTTAGTTCAGATACCGGATCAACTACACAATATGGATATGTTGGTAGTGATGATATTAGTTGGGCTATAATTCAGCGTCAACGAGAGCTAAGATTACTATGCACTGCCAATCATCGAGTCCTTCGACGACTTGTACAGGCAGCCAGAAGAGATATGCAGCGTCAAGAAATACAGAGGCGTTTGGCAATCGCAGATGCCGATGTGAGTAGAATACTGTTATGTTTTGTTTTGACTTTCCTGAAAATTAATTTCTTTTTTAAATAAGCATTGGAATATGGTAGTTTGGTTAGCAAAGATTGGTTTATTGGTCTTGGTGACTAGCAGAGAAATCCAGGACTCGTATTTCGTCATATTCGAGACTCATCATCACCCCAATGAGTGATGCAGTTCCCGCCGACGCTCGAACCCTCTATTTTTCGCTTCAAACTTCAGAACATTATCCACTGGAGCGCAATAGCCACCACTTGTGCAACGAGTGTCAGTTGTTGCAATGATACTTGTAATTTCCCGTTACTATACAGGCCCGAATTGCTCGACTTCTGTTGGCAGATTGGTTTTGTTTTACTTGCACGTGTTTTGACAGAAATGCTGTAAAACTGTTGCATATAGCTATAAAAATCAAGGTTTAAAAGTCGTAGGTTTACCATTTTATTGCCGTACAGTTGTCAAAACACTAAAATTCTCTGGCAGTTCGTTTTTAATTTCCCCTTCGTTACCTCTTCATTAGATTTGTGATTTCAGTCTATGGCGAATGTAGGAAATCTCCTATTGAAATTATACATTATTAAAGTGATCTTAATGATAGTCCTAAACTGTATCTACAACTGTGTAGCTTCCGGTGTCGTTAACTGATTTTATATTGCGTCTTACTGAAAAGTGTTTCCATCTACGTATTATACGAATTTACTGTATGTGCATTATTATCCTTTTAGGTTATTGAAGCATATAACAGACTTGAAAGTTACCGTCCACACCGTAAACCTCCGTTGAAACGTGATCGTGATGTAGCATGGAAAGCACTGAAGGAACGTCGCAAGATACTCACGGAATTGGAAGCATTCGATGCTAAATCCCCTTAATATGTGATTATCAATCGCTTTTTTTGATCCACTTTCAACTGTATATAACTCGACTCTTAGGTTAACTTTTTTTTGGTTAAATGTAATATATTTTATTGCAGTTAGAAAATGGCTGCATATTCCTGTGTATTATCGAAAGTAAAGTTTATATTCTGTCTACCTTTGAGTTTTTTTTCTGTTCTGTTTCAACGTTTTTCCTTCTTTATATATATATATATATATATATATATATATATATATATATATGCTTGTACTTTTTATGTTTCCCTTTTTCAGTAAACTTTAGTTGTACAGTTATTCCACTTTCCAATAAGTTATTTCTTTACAAGTTAACTGTATACTTAGTCGCAGCATTTTATTGATTCCCACAAAAATATTCCTGTTGTAATTCATTATTTTCTATTCTTCATTAGTCTTTCTTTGACTTTTTCTATTCGCAAAACAGTTATTACTGCTATCGTCCTGTAAAGTAATATATTCCTTTATAATAACTGGTAGACATCAAATATACTATCTACTGACTATCAGGTATGATTCTTTTTGTATGAATGTTGAATTTTCTACACTTGACATATAGCATTTGTATATGAATTATTGTGTAACCACTGTTTTGTACGTTTCATCTACTCAGCGTTTGTATTTTTAAGGAATTTGTACTGAAATGAAATGGTTGTTTTATTGTATCCTTAATGATATTAAAACCATCAATTCAGCTTTGAACATGTGGGTGTGGGCTATTATTGGACAATATGGTTGAGAAAATTGTCGAACAGTGATATTATTAAATCCTCATCAGTGTCATAAAGATTGTCTTTAAAGGCATTGGTTTGTGTGAGCTAAATATTTACAGATGGCATATAAAGCTGTTGTGTAGTCGTCAAATAATAAGTATCTATCACTTTAACGATGAGACGGACACTTTAGGAGACAGTTTTGCTATTCTACAATCGTGCGTTGATTACACACCATTTACATATCGATGCTTCAGCTCTTACCAAAGTTATGATGTGGAAGAGCGACTGGTATAGAAGAGCTACTTTCGTAAGTGTTTTTAGGATGGCAATCAAGATACCGTAGTTAGATTAGTTAAGGCATGAGTTAGACACAAAGTTAGAAACAGTTCCTTCAAACCAATTCCTTTCTTTAGTTTTCGGTTTGTAAGAAAGGGAAAAAACTACTTGTTGTACATGTCTTCTTGGACCTGTATCCAATCAACACTTAATCGTGGTTCCAAAGCAGCTAACTCTGAGTCAATAGTGATTTTTAATATTCAACTGTGGCTCCGCTGATATTCACCAGTATATGTCACCCACTGTTTAGGTGGGACATTCGACAGCTATCCACTTTTCGTATTTCACAGTTTTTAGAAGTGCACACATAAAGTTGTAGGTATTTGAATATAAAGATCTTGAAGCCTTTACTGGAATATACTGATATCTACACCCGGGCACCATCAAAGTTGGCCTTAAAATAAGGAAGAGAGATCATTGTGAATAAGTTGGTGAGGTTGTAGGCCTTCATCGATTGAGTTCACTGGCGCATCCATACACCAAGTTAATGTCTATAATGGTTTTTTTAATTTTGACTGCAGTAGTGTTTTGTTCGACTCTAGTTTATGTATCGAGTTAATTTGTCGTTACCTATCCTAAATGTCAATGGATTTTGTGATATTTCTTAATTTCAAAGGCTAATGTAATTCGGGAACCAGAGAAAATTTGAAATAATTTGCGCTAAAAAACTATCTTTTAACCATGTATTTGTCTCATGAATACATTGTGAATAAATTCTTTAACTAGTTCTCATCAAGGAAAGAATGAGTATCATGCGTAATTGCGCAAATCAGATGTAGCTTTTCTAAGTGGGTGAAGATTTATCTATCAAAAAGAGATACTTATTAAAAGTCTTTGAGGAATTTATTCAAGCCATCCAGACTTGAGTCAAATAGTTTCACAGATTAATGAAGATCTGTGTTTCATCTTATTGAGGTTGTTGTGACTATGAAGTTCACGGTTGATGGGAGGTCGTCCTCAAACTATCATTAGTCGATACTCGTGTCTGTTTACTTTTATTTCACAAAATCTTATATCTTGCCAAAATACAAAACATTTCAGGTACTATGTTTGTAGAGGAGCACTTTGAAACTTGATAATAGCTTCGTCTCAAACTGAACTGAATGTACCTAGTCTACTCCTAATTATTGAGAAATCATTTATCTATCAGTCTTTCTTTATTGTCTTCATGTGATCTTAATCATAGATTTTCAGATGTGAAATACATGTACGGAACAATAAAGTCTATAAGTTACTACATAGGCAAACGTATGGGAAGTGTTTTCATGCAAGAAACTGAAAGATATTGAGACTGATGAGAACTTTGATGAGAACCTTTGGAGTTCTTTTCAAATGTAATGCGTAGATAGGTATGAAAGATTACTCATCAGAAATGTATGACTTTTCATGTGTTATTGTTGATGCACTCATTCCAGATTTACTATTTACAGATTATTAACCTTGACATTTTCATTTCAGTATACCTTGTGGCAGCAGTTTCGGATAAATTCCCGTAGTCTCTTGAACAAGAGACTTCTATGGAACTTTTACACTTCGAGATCATTCATCATACCGCTAAATAGGTATTCTCACAGCCACTCAGACAATCATAATCAGCAAAAATATTCTCATCATCCAAAATCACTTGTCAAAGCAGCTTTGATTACCACCTTTCTTACAAAGATCTGGAAAGACGATGAAGATGAAAGCCATACTTACCAGAATTCGAATGGTCTGCATACTCCTTTAGTCGTTCAGTGTGCAGAATTGGTTAAACCTATTCCTAAAGACAGACAAACTGCGATTAAAGCTCTGGATGTGGTTGCAGATGTTGCTCAAGATGTACAACCGGCAGTGGTTTCAATCACCAGTACTAAGTTAGTTATTCTCTGTATATTCCTTTTCTTTACTGTTAAAACCAGTGGTTACAAGAAAATGTGAATATTCTATGCTTTAAATAACGTATTGGCCCGTAGTTTTGAATTACCAATAACTCACAGTGATAATCATCTTTTATGTTTCGACTGGTGTCAAAGACTGCATTAGAACTGCTTCATAGTGGTCAATAAGTTTCAAATGCCTTTCGGTTCTGACCAGCTGTGTAGGAAGGAGGGCATGAAGATGGGAGCACACCCAGCCACCTTGTCTACATCTGCGCAGGACGCAATCAGCCACACCTATTTTGTGACAGCTAGTGATACTACCTAGTTTCCCAAACCTCGGTAGATGGAGCAGGGCTCGAACCCGTGACCCGTCGGCTGACAGTCATCTCCCTAAACCGCGGCTTTAGCTCCAACTGCGTAGTATCATCAGCTTTCGAAATAGGCATTGTTCAAGCTTTTATTGATGTACATATACATGCACAAACATTTTTTACGTATTGGTTCCTATGTAGTCAATTTTAATTTCTGTCTTTGAACATCAGTCTTATTCGTTAAGTTTCTCCCAATAGTTACGTGTTATCGTACTTCATAAACTACTCAGAAGGTTAGTATTATGGGTTTAATGGCGGTGCTAGCGGTCTCTATTTTGTCGGAAATGTTTCCAGAAGACTGGTTTGACATTCAGTTATCAGTTGACTAATCGTTTTCTGTTCGTGTCGTATATTTTAAGGCTTTTTATTTTGTTGCTTACATAACTAGGTGATTTTCGAGTGACGTTTTTATTTGTCTTCATCAGACGTGCTAATCATCTGCTAAATAATGTGTATAAAACACTATCTGTTAATTTGCGTTGTGTTTTGAATGTTCATATTCTTGAGTGTATCATCCAGATCAGCCTAGGACCAGACATTACTGCGTAACGGTTAGAGTTGCCACACCTCATATCAGTACATCAAGTAAAAAGGCAGTGAGGCTCAAGATGAAGGAAGGAGAATGCAGTCAAAAGAAATATAAAGTACGAGAAGAAAAAAGGAAGAATGACAAAATGGTGAGATTCGGTATAGTGTTAAGATGAGGATAATGTGTGTATGCATCTGCGCCACTGACATCGGTTCTGAGCCATATCTTGAGTGTATAGGTCTATGAAATAAAAATGTGGCTGATTGGTTTAAGCGTTCTTCATTCAAATAATGGGTCCTGGTTTATAATACTGCGTTATCTACTTCTGTCTAGACTAGTGGTAATATCATAGTGTCTCATACAATCAGTGCGGGTCATAACTTAGTACATAAGCTTGTATTATTGTTGTTAGTATTATAGGTTCATTTGAACCACTACCTAAAGAATGCGCAAATTTAGTGGAAGTTTTGCAAATTATTGTACTTAAAAATTAATAATCACTTTATTCCAGACAATATATTTGATATTGCATGAAACTCTCAGTATGCAATATTTCAACAACTCCCGGAACAATATTTTTAAACGAAGTAATTATTGCACTTCTTTAATGTTAATAATAACGGTATTATAGGTAGTAATATTTAGCGACCAGTTGTTGTTCGGTTATCGTCAGGTCGGATGGGGAAGTGAATAGAAAGCGATGTGTAATTTTAATGGTAGTGTTTCATGTAGCCAGTACGAAAATCTGCAATCCGAGCTAACTATTTTCGGAATATCCATATGATGTATTGTTATGTGTTTAAAAATCCTTTGTCATTTACCGCGACATTTTTTCATCATTTTATTGTTGACTTCCAAAACGGCTGGTTGGAAACATTTTAATAGTACGCAAGAGTACGGTTTCAAGACATATTTTGAATGATTAAAAGTTGATAAGGAGCAATTTTGTGTAATATATTCAGTCGAGAATTTTCGGTATTTTCAGTTTCAAGCAGGCCACTACTTCAACTCGTAATGGAATATGATTCATTACTTGTTGATACTTGTAATTCTCAGTTGTTATAGCAGATTGACCTCTACTGTCATATGAGCCGCTATCCGAATGCCTCGATCATGTCTTAATACCTATTGTTGTAATTGACTTAGTTTCAGCATGTGATTTCCTGCAAATTAGAAGCTTAATATCTATGCCGGTTTTTTCCTCAGTCTTTAAAAGTAAATATAGCTCAACTAATTCATCCTATTGCCAAAACATATAATATTAATTTGACTTCTTTTTATTTACTTAGCAAAGGTTTTCTTTCACTTCACGCACGTTCCACCGGCTCAGGTTTCATCGTAGACGATTCGGGTCATGTGGTTACAAATGCTCATGTAGTTGGCTATCGAGGCGATGTTATTGTCCATCTGTGTGACGGTCGTTCCTTTCCTGGCAAAGTTTTAGCAGTTGATGTATCCTCAGACCTAGCACTTATTCGGGTAAGTAATTTCCAACCGATAAACCAACATATTTCTATTTACGTATAATTTTGGCTTACTGTATTAAATTAAGTGCTTCGTATCGTTCATTAGATCAACTAGTTTAGTTGAATTCTAAACTAGCACGTTGGGAGAAAAAAGTTTCAGAGATTGTCATATCTGATTTTTAATCTTTTATCTTTACAAAATTTTATATCATTGGTTAGTCATTGAACCCAGGCTTCAAAAAGAAATAATTATGAGGGATTTTTAAAAAAAAATCTAGCTGGTGGTTTATCTGATAGTTAAATGGATAGTTTAACGTTAAAATTTGTAAATCCTCGAAACGCTTCTCGCATTGTTATTAATTTGCTTTCCAGTATGTTTTAAATGTGGTAGACTGGGTCATGCAACAAAATGTGAGGAAGCGAAGAGATGGTCATACGGTAGCTGGACCGATGAAAAGACCCTAGAAGATTTAGATTTCCCCGATGAGGATTTATGTCTAATGTCACAAAACTCAAAGATCTACAGGCGAAAACTAACAAGTTGGCAGAAGAGGCAGCGAAGACGGGACTTCAGATGAACGTAGAGAAAATAGAGGTGAGGAAGATACCCAACCAACAACAAGCACCCATCACCATCAATGGGAGAGGCTGAAAGGAAGTTGTCTCTTTCACCTACCTTCCTAAGCAACATCGTTTCAACTACAGGTGGCGGCGGCGGCGGCACAGATGAGGATGTTAAGGCCAGCCAGGATCAGAAAAACAGCAAGACAGGCCTTCATTAACCTGAAATCAGTGTGGAGATCTACTGCACTCATCATAAAGTGTGAACAAGATCCAGATTTTCAACACTAATGTCAATCAAGTCAGTGCTTCTGTGGTGGTTGAGAGACTTGGCGCGTTACGAAAAGCATTTCCAACAAACTACAGACACCCATCATCAACACCTGCCGTCTACACTCACTCGATACTGAAGGTCAGATCAGATGGCCGGAATAATAAGAATAAGCAAGAAGGAACTCTGGCCTGTCAACGAACCAGCTAGGTACCTACAGCCCAACAAAAATGCAGAGGAAGAAAGTGGAGACGGATTAAATTGGATTGGGCATACACTGAGAAGACCATTTGGGGACATCATGTGACAGGACAGGCCGTCGAGTGGACCCGAACTGGGAGACGATGAGTTGGGCGTCTGAGAGTGAAATGGAGAAGATCGTGTGAGTAAAAAATGGAAGCTTGTGGTTAGTTGTAGAGCCAGATTGAAAAGAGTGCAGAGAAGAGAATGAAATGGTGACGTGCTACTGAAGCCCTATGATTCACTAGAAACCCAAGGGATAAATAATAATAATACTTTGAATGCAGTATTTTTGTATTCCTTCTAGGAAAGTTATTTTTATATAGTCATACTTTGATGTCTGACTTTCTTCCGCTGGAATATTTTCAATGATTCACATCCAACCCCTCCCGGGATATACTACTAAATACCTGTTGAATGTATTTTTACATTGACTTTTTGGAAGTATTGAGTAAATGAGTAGAAAAAGAACTAGCCTGATTTCATTTTAACCGAAGCAAACAGCATTATTTTCAACAATAATTCGATCTCCATCTGATCTTATCTGAAAATTAACTTATCCGTCTTAAGACAGATATATTTACAATGTATTCAGTCTTCCATTTAATCGGCTTTTATTTTTTTTAATCTATTAGCGCTAGGTTTAATTCTTTTTTTTGTATTTTTTTATGCTGATGTAGATGGATGTTAAAAAGAGTGTTGCAGAAAATCTTCCACGTCTTCCAATGGCTGCTAATTTACAAAACATTCGTCCAGGTCAGTTTGTACTGGCTTTAGGAAGCCCATTAATGTTGGCTAACAGTGTTACAGTTGGTGTTGTATCTGCTGTGGACAGAGACCTCGGTCATTCAGAAGGCCTAAAATACATTCAGACTGACGCCATAATAACAGTAAGTTGTGAATACTTTGTTTATATAAACTTATGAACTCAATTATGACTCCTGTTAGGTGAAGATGCTGCCAAGATGCAGACTCTTCTGGACACCTTGAGTGGCGATTTGAGAATGTTTGAGATGCGTTTCTTGCCACCTGAATCCAGATTGCTGCTCCTGGACTGGTCTGCAACGGGGCCTCGGCTAACAGTAGAGAGTGAAGTGATCTAGCGCGTTGAAAACTTCACTTACCTAGGAAGTCAGACCAGCCCTGATGGCTCAGTGGCCAACGAAACCTCTGCACGGATGCGAAACGCTTAGTTGGCTTTTGTTAACTTATGCCATCTGTGGCGCTGCCGCGATTTTCGATTGTCTATTAAGGGTCAAGCGTACTGTGCTGCAGTTCGCTCTATTATACTATATGTATGTTTGTGAAACATGCCCATCAAAGGTAGAAGACATGAGAAGGCTTCAGATGTTTCACCACTACTGCCTTCGTGGTGTCACCACGTGGGTAACACACAAGTCAGGTGTGGAGTTTTAAGGAAGTGAGGTAAGACAGTTGATGCGGTTGTAAACCTACATCGACTGAGGTGGCTAGGACGTGTGTTACGTATACCTCGTCTCACAGTATTGGCCGAAGTAGGTTTAGGCTGGAAAAATGCTCAGGACGGCCACACTAAAACATGGTATCAATGCATGAAATCCTTGACTGTTCGTTTGAGCCTTATTGGGTGATGCAGACTAGCCCGTTGGGGTCTGCGAGACAAAATAAACCAGGGGTTGGAGACGCTAGGTGGTATGGTGATATAGCTTAGAACCGAAGTCAGTGGCGCACATTATCCTCATCTTAACCGCTATACTTAATCTCATCATTTTTTCATTCTTCCTCCTTCTTTTGCTACTTTCTGCTTCTTTTGACCGATTTTTCTTTCTTCATCTTCCATTTTATTGCTTTTTTACTTGATATGCTGTTATGAGGTGTGGTAACTTGGACCGTTACACGATAAGTTTTTCAGTCTTTGTCTTTTGGTTAACGTACTCTGATAGACGTTTATGTCTTCTTATTACGAAATTAACAATATTCACTTTGATGAAAATTGGTTTCAACTGGAAGGTCTATGGATAGCTGGAAATTCGAAAACTTAGTGACCAATCCCATTTCATCAATTGTTCTGAAAAAAATAATTATCTTGAAATTACTTTATCAAATGTGTCGTTTCTTACCAAATACAATCTAGAAACTAGACAGAAATCTTCAACAAACGCTTGTGGCAAGTCAGTTGCACATCAGGTTGTTGTTTCAAAATCCATCATAATCGTTTCCATTTATTTTCCTCAATAAATTAAACTCACCTTTTGAAAACAGTAAAGTATTGAAACTTGTGAGACAATGATTTCAGTATCTTTAGAAAATCGAAATGCACTCAGTAACCTTGTACACATTCGTGGGGTTGGCAATGAGCCCCTCCTATTGTGTGAAGGCTAATGATACTAACTGGCTGCCTAAACTTCAGTAGATGAGGTGGGGCTCAGACTCGTAACCCACTGGTTGAAAACCATCTCCGTAAACCAATGGGCTACGGCTTCACTTTAGAAATGGACATCTGGTTAATTGGAATCAAGAATTAGGAGTGTTTCACTTCCAGTGGATATTAACAGTAGGAAGGTAATGAAATTATATCTTATGTTTACCGTTCTATATTGTTTTATTTAAAGTGTCGAAAAGTTCGAATCCATTTCTTGAAATGGTATCATAAGGCATGAAAATAAAAGTATGTATGCAGAGAAGAGTATGTATAATTCTTTATCTTCCTAAAGTCCATTATCTTACAAGGGAAATACTCATACTTGTAAGAAGGGAAACTTGAGTTACATAATATTATGATTGTCAAGATTGAAATAATGATAATACGTGTTTGCAGGTCCATCACTGCAGACAGTTTGAATTTGTATGGCCTAAATTCTACAACTGTCATTTTTCTTTGTTTCATAAACCGTGACAAAAATGGTCTGCAGTTGCCCACATATCTCAAATCAACAACCAAAGAATTCGTCAATAAGTATTTTCTTTGTCACACCATCCGTAGGCTTCTTCGATCCTCTTCGTAATCCTGTTAACAGTGGGTGTCAGCGTAAACTGTGACGAGTCACGTATATTACCATAGTTGATACGCCTGTTAAATCTCATAAACTGAAATACGTCCTTTCCCTAGTTACTGTGTAGCTAACCTCTGCACTACTCATAGTGATTCTACCAAATGTGAAAGATGTCATAAAGCCAACGCTTGTAACATGCCAGTGACATCTGTATATCATCCAATATTCTCATGTTCGACAATCATGTAATTGGACAAACAGTACTACCACGTAACACACTCACTGTTTGGCAAGCATTCCGATATCTCTCCTGCTGCAAATGTATCATGGGTTGCAAAAGCCAAACGAGTCTTTCATGTCTACAACGTGATTTAACCAGTCATTAACTCACCCTAGCTGATGTAATTTTACCAGTAAATGAAGTGACCAATATACGAAATCACTTCGATCTCAATGATCAGATGGAACATTAAGGCTGATCAGTTCCAAAGCAAAGTTCTGAACTTGGGTAACGAGAAGCATACTCTTATTTCCTTGCTGAGAATATTAAAAAGACCATATTTTATTGGCATCTTTACATAATAGAATCATGTCATCAGTACACTGCATGTCAACTCGGGGATCTTCGGGAAAATAAATCCCTGTAAAGTTGGAGAAACACAATTATCTCTAGAAGCATATATACCTTACAGTCTAACAGAAATCAAAAGAGCATGCTTCCCTAATGAAGATCATTCAACAGTCTTCTCAAAAAAATATAGGGGTAAGACTTGCGCACTCTGGTAGATAGCAATTCCACCTTAGTTTGTTCCCTAAATGTCACGTAGTAAAACATTATTATTTATACCGCCTAATTTGAATGTAGACAATTGAAGAAACAGGAGACAACTCGACGAGAGAATGTTTATTACGAACAATTGGAATGGTAGTGGTTACATATGGTACTCTTTGCACTAACGCAGCCATTTGCAAATGTCTTCGTTTCCTCTCCGTTCCTGTCTTGATTTGCTCTTGACCGGCTCTTCACATGTTCTTATCAGCAGCATCCCCTGTAATACGCCTGTGTTGTCCCCTGCGTTGCTCTTGGCAGAAACCTTACCCATTGCCGGTAATTCCCTATGATTCCTGCCACCCTCTCGATATATACTACTTATATCCGTTGTTATCAGCAACGCCCACTACACTCCTCCCCCCTCAAAATTCCGGGCTTGCAACCGTGTTGATCGTCTTGGTGCTGTCTTCTCTTGGTTTTCACTCGCTGTTTCGTCTTTTTTCCACTGCTTCCATTTTTGAAGTAGGCTGGCGTTTACTCTTTTCTCTTTGTTCCCTTGTTTGATGGTATAAATTGAACCGCGTCTCTCGGTAATGATGTATGGTCCTTCCCACTTCGGAAGTAGTTTCCTTCTGCCATACTCACCTCCTGACGTATATCCTCGTTCTTTACATTTCACCTGATCTCCAACCTCAAATGGTTTCCATTTACTTCCTTCTCTCTGCTCAGATTTTTCAGCATCAGCCTTCTGCTTTCGTTCCACATTCCTGATAGCCTGTTTCCGCTCCTCTCTCAATCTTGTCATGTTCCAAGGCTGTTGTTGGGGCCAGGTCTTACTATGTATCGGGAGCCGTGGTTTCCTGCCATACATTAACTGGAACGCCGACTTCTTGGTTGTTCCTTGTACCGAGGCACGATGAGCTAATAATACTAACGGCAGTTCCGTCTCCCAATTTCCTCCTTTCGAAGCTAGCCACTCCTTCAGTGTACGGTTATTCCGTTCTGTCAAACCGTTAGTCTGCGGGTGGTACGGCGTCGTTCTTATCCTCTTGATATCAAGCTGCTCCAAACAGGATTTAAATTCTTCACTCTCAAAACAAGGACCTTGGTCGGTCAGTATCATCTTCGGCACACCGTGATCCGCGATAATATGCCGCATCACCGCTGCGGTCACTGTCTTCGCGCGTTGATCAGGAATCGCGACAGCGTCTACCCATCGTGTAGCATGCTCCGTCATCACCAACAGGTATTGGTTGCCACTAGACGTCTGCGGAAATGGTCCCATTACGTCCACCGACCACAGGTCACCAACCGCTGCTACTGGAATCGACTGCAGTGGCGGCCGTACATACCGATCACCTTTCATCAGTTGACAATGAGGACACCCCAGCACGTATTTGGCAACATCCTTTCTCATACCTGGCCAGTATGCACTTTGTCTGAGAAGGTCAGCTGTCCGTGAGACACCTGTATGAGCTAACTGGTGGCATTCTTGTATCATTTTGTCGCGTAGACATTTCGGAATCACTGCCAACCAGCTTCCGTCATTTTCTCGCCACGTTAGCATTCCATAAGTATTCATCCGTAGGCGTTCTTTCTGCGTCAACAACGTTCTCAACTCTTTATCTCCCACAGACGTTTGTGTCTCTGTCCCTTCAGTTATGGCTTTGATCACTTCTTTCAGTGTCGGGTCCGACTTCTGAAGGCGAATAAGTCTTAACGGGTTCCATTCCACTGCATGTACGCCGTATGCGATCTCAGGTAGCTCATTTTCTTCGTCAGATCTTGATAAGAAGTCTGCCAACCAGTTTTCTTTCCCTGCCACATGGCCGATGGTGAAGTCATATTCTTGCAGTCGTAACACCCAACGTGATAATTTTCCTCTGGGGTCTCTCGCTGTCTTAAGCCACTGTAGAGGTTTATGATCCGTTTCAATATGGAATCGTTGACCGAGGAGGTACGATCTCCACTTCTCCAGCGCCCAAACTATCGCTAGACATTCCTTTTCCATTGTAGAATATTTCTGTTCTGCGGGTGTTAGAATGCGGCTGGCATACTCCACTACTCCTTCAGTCTGTCTCAGGACTGCCCCTATTCCATAATCACTTGCATCGGTGGACACGATAAATGGCCTACCAGGTATTGGTAGTTTTAACGTCATCTCCTGGTCATTTAGGAGTTCTTTGATGTGATCAAATGTTTTTGTGCCTCCTCCGTCCACAAAAATTTGGGGTTGCCCAGTAGCTTATATAACGGTGCTGCTATCTCATTGAAATCTTTTTTTTTTTTTTCGTAGAATGCTGCTCTACCCAAGAATTGTCGCAGTTTCCTCTTGGAATTCGGCACTGGAATAGTCCTGTCAGAATTTTCTCGGGTAGTGGTTTTATTTCGCCGTTTCCAACTTTGTGTCCCAGCAACGTAACACTCCTCTTGGCTACTTGAGATTTTGTCTTATTGATGCGGAGTCCAAACTCATCGATACGTCTCAAAACAGCTTCAAGGTATTCTATGTGTTCTGCCTCCGTCTGGCTGTACACCACCAGGTCATCGCCGTACACCTCTACGTTCTCTAAATTCTTCAGCAACAACATCAATCGTCTAAATGTAAAGGGCACCCCTGCCAGACCAAATGGCATTCGCTTGAATTGGTATTGCTTCTTGCCCACAATAAATGCTGTTTTCTCTTTATCACTGTCTTTTATTGGTAGCTGCCAGTAGCCCGAGCGGAGGTCCAGAACTGTAAATACTTTCGCATTCTGCAAACGATCCAGTGTCTCAGCTATCGTCGGCATGGCACATGGCTTCAGCTGCGTTATGCTATTTAACTCCCGGAAGTCCACGCAGAATCTATATTTCCCATTTGACTTTCTTACTAAAAGTACTGGAGAACTGTATGGACTGTCAGCCTCTTCAATAATACCTTCATCTAGCATTTCCTGAATCTGGCGCCCAACTTCTTGTTCCAAGTGACATGGTATTCGCCGTGTGATGAATGTTGTCGTTACCTGACTGGTCACTGGGATTTCATGCTGAACCTTGTCACAATAACCATAGGGGTCTCCATCTCCTGTGAACAATCTGTCGTATTTCTTAACCACCTTCATGATGTTTGGCGTTTCTGGGTACGGTGCTTTTGGTACTTCAATCTCTGCTACCTCGCTGTTTTCCTGAGTGTTGAACGACCCGTACTTCGTTGCCACTATTCCTGTTCTCGTGTTAATCACTGCACCCACTTCTCTCAGAAAATCGGCACCTAGGATTGGGCGTTGTAGGCGCGTGGTCACAATAAATGGGAATCTAATTTTCTGGCTCGCGATCTCAACAACGCAATCTGACAAGCCCGCAATATCCAGTGCATGTCCCCAACCGTTTGGACCGTTAGCGCACATGGTCTTGTGTTGTGAGACTGCCTCTTATCTATTAGAGAGACTGCCGCCCCTGTATCTATGAGACACACGATATCCCGACCATTTATTCGCAATCTAGCATACACCGCGCCTCGATCTATGGCTCCTACGATATTTAGTCTAGTCGGAAAAACAGAACTCATATTATATCGTTCAAAACGTTTTCTTTCCCGCCTCCCCGGACAATTCCTTCACTAGTGTCCCGGTTTCCCGCATGCGAAGCACTTACTCTGCTTGTTGACGCTCATTCGCAGTGCTGCTATCTCTTTCTGGAGGTTGTTGATTTGTTCTTGCCAGTTATTTACCTCTGGTGACTCCACTGCCGCTACTCCTGTACTCATTAGCTGTCTAGTCCCCTTGGCCATTTCGCTAATGTCCATGGGCTGGGCTGCATCCACTAGTCGTAAGTGGTGGGCAATGGCATTCGGGACACTCTCAGTGAACTGTGCGGTCAGCAACTGTTGTTGGGCATCCTCATCCAACGTGGGAAGCGCTCGTCGGAGTAGTTTGGTCAGCTTCACAGCCAACACCAGCGGATCTTCATCTATTCATCTATTGTCTACTTTGATATGACTTTTCCCATCCATCTATTCTTTGTGTACTACTGTGAAGTGTGGCAACTTGAGCTGATGCACTCCTATGCGAGGTTCTACGTTGATTTTGTCAGTCAGTCATCTATGTAAGCCATATCTTCAGCAGAATACACGGATTTTTATTAACATCAGAATATATAGTCGAATAATGCATCAAATATTTAGTGTATGTAGGTCATTGGTTAGGTTGTTTGCTGATCAGACTGAGTAATTTAGTCATTACAAGTTTATATTTCTTATTGTCATTTGTCAACGAAAAATGTAGGATATCCAGTGGGTATTTATGTTATATAATTTGCTGTCTCCCTACTTTCATGAAAATACTAGTTCATTTGTGAACATTCAGTAGTTGTCATTCTTATTAAAAGCTTCAATTAGAAAAAGTCATCTTCACTGGTTTTGTCAGATAAATGTTTACCAATTGTTTCTTGAGTTTCCACCATTACAAAAACGTCTGTTGGACAGTGGTAGTGTAGAAACGACAAGACAGAGATGAAGAAAGGAAGGATCATCACTGACGTCTTGCACAGTACTCATCAAATATTGTACACCTTGCACTAAGATAGTCATTTGCATATTGTGCTTCATTTCCTCTTTTGCTTCTATCTTGATTTGTTCTTAATACCCCCACTTTGTCTCTTACGTTGTTCTGGCCAGAATCTTTACCCATTGCTGGTAATTCCATATGATTTCAGCCGCCCTCTCAACATATACTACTTATGTCCATTCTGATCAACAATACCCACTACAGTAAGACTAAATCCAGTTACCATCGTAATGTAAGTAGATTACCCCATGGAATGGGTTGGAAGGCAAAGTTCTACTTCTGGCTGTATAATGTGTCGTGACAACAAGATTCTCAGCATTCCATGTTGATGCTACTTTCTCTTACTGGAAAGGGGTTATACAAGCTCGACCCTATAACTCACAGTCTTCAAGTGTCGGCGTTATGAGTTTTTCTTTTCTCGAGATATAACAATAATATCTGAAACTCTTAAAAAGATTGTGACTGGCCTCAAGCAGATGTCACGCACCAGCATTACTAAGCCACTTTCTCTTTCAGATACCTTGTGGAAACAATGTCCATGTTGTTGGTAACGGGAAGGTACCAACTACCTGCTCGCTTTGAGAAGTATACAAAACCCAACTAACCATAAATTACTTTTCGTACTTTTGTTTCCTCCCTTGGCCTCACTTCCTGAACCTTTACGAAGGAGTTTATCTAAACGTATCGGCAAATCTCACCTGGATTAGGTCTGTTGAAAAATTCACTCAACTGTAGAAACAACAATAAAGACAGTAATCTACATCCTTCACCGACTGAGAAAGCTTGGTCATGTTGAGCCACTGCGTACCTCGATTCTTGAGGTAGGATTGAGTAGTAAGATTGCTGAAAGCATCCAGACCAAGAAATAAAACCAGTCCGTGAGGCCTCATGGTGATCTGTGTAGCCTGCCTGCCTGGGGTCCTCGAGACGATAAGAATCAATGTTAATATGACTCGAAATTGATCACAGTAGCACAGAAATACGCACTTTTTTCACTTTCTACATTGTGAATATTTTACTAACCTTCATTTATTTACACTCTCCCCTCTCACACTGATATTATTCCTTTTCTCTTCACTTCTTCTTTGCATTCTGCTGTAGAGTGTGGTAATTCGAACTGATAGACTTCTATGCCAGGTTCTGAGTTGGTCTAAATGTCTTTCTCTTTTTAACCACTGTTTAGAAATGTAGCTGTTTTTCTCTACAAGAATTGAGCCTCAGAAAGCAGCAACAACATATATGGGCTACGTCGAAACAATGTTTGTGGTAGGGTCTGTAATTACTTGTCTTGACTAGTCTTTGTTGAACAAGTAGTATGGAAAAAGTTTAACAAAAACCTGGGATAGTTAACAACACCAATACACTGTTTGTTGTAGTTGGTTGTGAGAAAATCAATGTAATCAAATTAATGTCTTCAGAACAGAATCGCTCGATGTATGAAAAGGCTTGATTGTGCGACATGAATCCCACCTACTCACAAAGGTGCAGTTACACACGTCTACTTGAACTTGAATTTTATTAGTTTATTGAGCGAAAATTCAGGATCATAGCAGAGTTATATCACTGTAGAAATATCAACAACTAAAAACGTTTTCTATTAAGTGTTTGTTAGTCCTTTAGTAAAACCATTTATTTACATACAAAATACTGGGAAACTTGTTTTCTAGCTTCATTGAGTAATATCATACCTGTAACTTATTACTAGTTGTCCATTTTTGTTTTTAACTAAGTTTGGTAATTCAGGTGGTCCACTAGTGAATTTATATGGTGAAGTTATTGGAATTAACGCCATGGTGGCTGGCACGGGAGTTGGATTTGCCATACCTGTTGATCAGGTTCGAAATTCATACAGTTGGCTTTGAAAGCATCTTCACATTCTAGAAGTTCTTCCCCCCTAACATCAAAATCACCAACTGATTCGTATATTTTAGCAGACAATTCAACCAAGTCAGAGAGTGGTACTCAACGTCGATACTTAGGTCTGGTTATGCGAACACTTACTCCGGAACTGGCTTTTGAACTAGCTTCTCGTGGTGGACAGCAATTTACAGAACTCCACGATGGTGTCTTAATTCATGCTGTCCTAAGAAATTCTCCCGCTCAAAGGTAAGATACTTCTTCCCACCATCCTTAAAAGATGAATTAGATAGGATATTAAGATGAAAAATATCAGTTCACTGTAAACACCACCACGCGTTATTAGTATTCGCCCAGTTATTCTACCGTTAAACAGCATACAAGTGTATTCATTGTTCACTATGCCAGTAGTTTCCACACTGTCACGAACTACTCATTACTATATCTAATCATAGAAATATGAAAAATAAACTGGAAACGGATCTGGAGTATTTGCGAAACAACCTATCCATGATCTGTAAAAAGCTAGAGAAGACACCACAATAATTCTGAATAAAACTGACGATCACAAAACAACATTGAGGAAGACTGAAGGAAAAGGAGAAATGATTACATTTCAAGATACTCACCAATAATGACTCAAACTAAAATACAACCGAAACACAGTCATTATCAAACTCCATAAAGCATCTTCATACTTAATAATTGGACATTTTAGTCTTCATCTTGGTGATCGCCTTCTAAACCCATAGTCGCGAAATAGTTTGCACCTTACTATCGTTAGACACAAATATGTTGTTACAAAACGCTATCGCGAACACGAATCAAGTGAAATGATCTAGTAAATTTGATTCTCATGCTAGGAAACATTTCGAGTACACTCTTTATATACCTCTTCAGCATATGAAGGTCTTCAAAAACTGAATTCGATATGGAAATGGATCTAGTGTAGAAATTAAATATGACGGTTGTTCAAAGTCGAATTGTTGTTGCTGTATGATGACCCTGGTAAGACCTTAACTTTACACACTTTTAAATCAGTATCCACTTATAAGCAATGCAATTTTTCTAAGGTAGAGTTGAAAATAATTAAATTTCCGACACATTCAAGTTGAATTTATGATTAATAGTGTAATTTCCCAGTAGTAACCTTCTGTGTTTAAATTAAGCCACACGCGTCATCTTTCCCATGCGTCGAGTGCTATAAACTGGTTAAATCCAGATGAGTCATCTTTATGCATACTTCAGCATCAAATGGTTGACCGTTTCTTAAATAACAAAGTGTTTTCATATGTACGCTATCAGACCTTAGATTCACAAGATAACACGACACAGAATATAACGACAATTTAAAAAGCCTCGGTGCTTTGTTGGTAGCATACTAGGCACATATTAGAAGTCTTTTAAATACAATTCTCGAAAGATATTTTTGTACAATACTTACCTTTCGGAAATCATATCAACATTTTGACACTGAATATAATTCTCGTTTACTTTGTAGAGCAGGATTGAAGGCTGGTGATGTAATAGTCGCTATTGACGGTTTGCCTATAACGAACGCACAGCAAGTCTATGCAGCAACAGAAAGTCGAGAGCAGTTGTCAATTGTTGTCATCAGACAAGGAAGACGCATAACAATAGACAATATTCAAACTGAAAAAGTGTAAAGCTTGTTGAAGGAATTATAAATATGGATTAATATACGACATACTATTCTGCACCGTCCATCTATATTTAAGATCAAATTAGCACAATATCTTTTCCTGACTTGCCAAATTCCTTCACTTTTTTCCAATACTTGGTTCTCTCTTTACTCATTTTATTTCATATAAGATGAGCAGTAATCAAAAAATTTGTAAAATAAAATCATCTTCATATTCGAGTATCAAGATTAATGAAAGGATATATATACGCTAAGAAAACTGAATAATTGTGGAAATACAACTCATAAAGATGTGATAACATAAAGGAATCAAGAGAATAAAAATGCTAAGAGAGAAAATTACAATATATTATGCTTTTTTTTTCTTGAGTGGTTATCACATCAAGAGACTGGAATGAGCTGCAAGTTGACTTTGACAACTACAACTAACGTACATCTATCATATTCAGTTCCACTTTAAATGAAACATAAGGAAAGTAGTCCAATGATGTGCCAAAACCGCCTACGTTTACTTCTTCCTGTAAATATAAATAAGTGCACATTTAATTTGTATGGTACAGCGTACATACTAAAAGTGTTTGAAAAGTTATTATGAGCAAGTAATCTTATTCAAACCAGAAACAATAAAATAAGTTCAAACTTAAATGTAAGCTAACCAATCCTTCAGAGAACTCCAATTAAGCTGAAGAGAATCTAGACAAAAGAACATTCCTGGATTTCCTTTTCTCCCTTCGGTTTTTGTTTTTATGAAGTGAATCTAAGTAACGTGCATAGGAAAATGTGAGATGCGATACCAACCATAATTTGCAATCACTCCATTTTCGTTAACGGCACAAACTTTCCTTTAACCTGCGACACTCCATTGGGAAGATGTGAATGAAGCTGAACCAACTTAAGGCACAAGTAAACAGAAGATCCAGCTGCTTAAACTTGCTTTATTTTAAGCCTAAGAGAATGCATTTGATTTGGAAAAAGTACAGTGGACGTTTTGATAGTCTTTGCAACATTGCTTTTACCCAAATTTGTAATCATCTTAAACTAATAAGGTGACGAGATTAGCAAAGACAATAAATTTATTTGGGAATGTGCGGTCTACTAGCGTTTTGCTTGACACCAAAAACCATTTGAAATCCTATCTAATCTTTGTTTTATTTGTAACGGACGATTATAAGGGGAAATACATACTTGAAATCAATCAGATGCCTTTTCATATGCAGCACAGCTACTATCATTCGACAATCTCCCTGAGCCTTTGGGACTGTAAGTTTAATATTCGAGATAAGTGATTTCTTTTTTTTACAGAGGCTCACTAGTATTGTTGATTTTTGACCCTACAATCACTTCACGAGTTTAAAAGTAGTCTTCATCAACGATTGAAGAAACAATGAAAATTCGAGACCATTCGACAACTGTTTCTTCGTAGTACCGGACTCCTCATTAGTGCGTATCAAGCCACCAGGTTCCTACAAACCACCAACTGAAATGCTTCAGAATTTCAACGGCTAAAATAAAGGCTGATATCACGTACGTCATTCATGACTTTCATGAGAAAACTTACATCCACGATCGAGCTTGAAGACGACCCATCCAAGTGACTGTAAAGCTGCTTTAATATATCCCGTAATTTTTTCTGCTGCTTTTTGCTTGGCTCAAGGAGTACTGCTTGAAAATCAACTGGTAACCCATATCTAGAAGATAAATGGTGACTAACAATCAGTATAGCAGAATAGCAGAAACGTAAAGGACAAATAAAGTGGGAAATGTCAACTAAGAAATAGTAACGAATGGAGAAAACCTGAGTTTTATCAGTAGTACCAGGCATTAACTAACCTAAACTTATGATAACAATGCAAGAAACTTCACTATTATCGCACTAAGATTTGAGAACTGTAGTAAAATATAATTCCACTCCTGGCTTGAAACACCATCCAATAAGTAGTGCTGCGATACATCTGACAAACGAACTAAAGTAGAAAAGCAAATTTCATCTCCATTGTTATGACTGTCGGTCAGAAATCCTGGTGTTATATCTTCGAGAAAGAGGATAGCTTGGCTAGTCCGCTCAAAATACTCCTACTAACTAACGTTCGGACACATCAACAGTAGTCAAATAACAAGTGAACTACGGCTTAGTGAGTACAATTACAATGGTTAATGAGCTGCATTAATTTTTTTTTCCTAGTTATGACTGTGATTGCGATAAGAATTGAAAAAGTAGTGAGTTTGTATCACTTAAACTCCTGAACCCTTCACTATTCACTCGAGTTCCATGCAATAAATCCTGGGTTCAAATCCCAGTTCCATCTACTTTGGTAAGGGCAACAAAGTAGCATCATAAGTCTTCAAAATAATTTTGGCCTGTAAACCATTACATAAATATGTACCAGGGTGACTCATATTACTTGTGGAAATGTGGCTTTACTGGCTTGAGCATTCGACTACTATTTATTTGTTAAGGCATTAGTATGCTCTAATTGCAGAAATTCCATTGAAACCATCAATAAAGTATATAAATCCAGTTATCGTCATTATATATCTAGAAATTCGTTGACCATTTCAACTAAAGGTATTTGGTGTACAAGATTATACCTCAATGAAAACTATTTGTTAAGTAATTTTCAGCGGCTGTGATACGCTTTTTCTCCAAACATGGTCACGTAGATACACAATAATTACTTCTAAACGCTGAATTTCGTTCGTCATAAAAAACGAACATGTTACCAGATGCAAAATGTTTACTACCCCATATATATGCTTTGAACCAGTCAACGAAGTACGTTTAGCAATTGTTAAAAATACTTTTGATAGGTATGTTTTAAATATCCAGTCTCTATATTCAATTGGTGACCTATCAAAACATCTTTGACAACCCTTGTGAAACGACGTGAACGTTCAACAGCGTATATGCTACCTTCACACCCATACAAACTGGATTCACCACTGCACTATCCAAAAATATGCGTTATCTTTATGACCTACGATATATGAGTCAGATGGTTTGAAGGAAGAGCGAAATAATCTAGTTCAAAGCTTGAAACTCGTTACACTTGTAAAGACTTGGGTGGCACTGTTAAGCATAGAACATAAAACTTTTAATGGTCACTAAGTTACATTTTCGGCAGTTTCTTTTTAGCCATGGCATAAAAAGAATTAGTGTATTATGCAGCTTAACCGGGAGTGTGATTCGTACTAGGATATGAACCGCACTGTGTGGAGGCTTACAGGACTACCCGGTCGCCCAGGAATCTGGTTTAAGGACATGATTTCTGACTGATGGGTCACGGGGTCAAAAACAAGCTCCATCGACCGAGGTTTGGGCAAAAAGGTATTTCCATTAGCCTTCACACAATATGTGACTCACTACCTAACGCGCACAGTATTACTGAGTGGATTGCAATTTCACTTGTAAGTCGAGTAAAATAAAGCTAATGAGTCAACATACACCCAGTGGTTATTGCCCAGTTTCTAATGAAGTGCACTACAACTTCATGATGACCTTAACTGTCTAACCACCTAAGTGCAGACACATGAATGACTGGACGAGAGGGATAGGTTTCTCAGAATTCCTGGTACACTCTAAGAATACATTCACCTGAAATTTTAACAATGATTCGTCTGTAACTCCTCAATGAAAATGTCACCAAGACTAAGTACTAAACATCAGTTATTGGTAGGATTCAAAAATAAAATTCTCACCGTAAAACTGACTCTACGAACACCCGAAGGGCTTTTATATGAACCACGGCGGAGAAAGCTTCACCAAAATTAACTTTCAACCAACGAAAAAGTGGTGCCTGATTAGGATTAAAAATGAAAACTGGTAAGTTAAGCGCTTTATGCCTGCAGAAATCACGAAACAGTATTGCATGCAGTGAGACCAAAACTCTTATGTGAATCAAAAGATGTGTAAAATAGCTCAAAAGGGTTCAGTAGGTTACGACACAAAATCAACGTGGGACCTGCCACAGAAGTACGTCGGTTTAAGATACCACACTTCACAGCAGCATGCAAAAGTGTGTAGATAAAGAGTGATATCGAAGTAGACGAACGTGCATTGGAGGAAAAGTAATTCAAAAACTATGTCTAGTAAAAGCCTTCAAGCTCTGGAAGACGTCCAAGTCTGAATACACCACTAGGACCGATTTCCACCCCCATCACTAGGGGATCATTAACCATTGATTTCTACCATATCAGACCAAGAAATGTGGCAAGTGTCGGCCGCTGGCATGTATGTCTATGTTCCTTAACTTGGAGAAGGGTGAAGATTTGGTCGTGCATCATCGTCTACGTCTGAAACCTACCTAGTTTTCTCGAGCTTCAATTAAGCGTCGGGTAATTATGGACCCAAGGTTCTTGGGCACGAAGTTAACCAAACTGATCGCCCTCTGGTTGTCACAGGAAGACTCTTGTTTCTCAGAAACTGGAATAGTCGGTGAAGTAGACCAGTTGGAAGACACTACCTCTGATTCCTGAAGGCCATCTAGTACCCTAATTACTCTACTCAGCAATTCCCAACCTCCTACTGGTGGTAAACTGCAGGTCCTGCTGCTATGCATCGCTTCGGGTTTGAAATAGCCTTCTCAACTTCGAGGAGAGTTGGAGGACCGACATCCGTGCTACATTCAGGTCTTGGTTGGATGCTGGGCGACCGAAGCGTTGTAGTGGGTCAGTTGAACTGTGCTTCGAAGTGTTCTAGCCATCCTGGGAGGTTATCAGAGAACCATTCTTTTCGGTGGTCCTAAACACCACCATCTTCTTGGCAGTGTGTTTAGTAAGCCTCATTAGTTGTTAGGTGTTACCTAATGCCAGTGCCTTCTTTCTCTTCCACTCTCGCCACCTTTGTGAACTCTTGATCAACTTATTTTTTGGCTGCTCTTGCTCCTCATTGTGGCCAGAGGCAGATGGAATGAGTCTTTTCTCATCGATCAGTTAAGAATAAGTTTCCAAAATCCACTGGTTTTCGCTAACCTTTGGACGTAGGTCATCAAGTGTCTTTGCCGTTATTTTTATTGTAGAATTAATATCTCTAAACTTCGCCAGGATGAGAATTTTTGTCACGTTCAGATATATGCTTATCTAACTCACTAAGTACGCACAATTTCATCTTCAGATCGAGAACGCACTGTCTTACTGCTGCCTGTTCCCTGCTAACGGTATGGTGCAAATGCACACGTGCCCATGTTAACACATGATCGGAGTATAAATCGCCGGTACTAAAGGCTAAGTGAAATATATGATGCATAGCAAATGCAGAAACTTCGTTGTTACGTGGACAAGAACTTCACTTACAGAAAATGAGGACCTTATATTGCAGGACCAAAAAGAGACAGCGACTTAACAGAAAAGTTACTTCAAAAATATTAGTTCTTTATATTCCCTTATCTGTAAGCAACTTAACCTACGAAAAAGTTGAAAATGGTTCGAAGATATGATCGAAGGAATGTTCACATTATCAAGTTACATCTGAACAATGTGTCAAAGCCTAAAATGATACACTGTAGCAACTTCAATGAAGTAGTGCATCCCTTACTTCGATAAAGTTCAGCCAGCTTTGAAATGAATGTGCTCAATTTTAAGTAAGATGAAACCAGAAAAGTTAATTTTAAAAAATCCAAAAACTTACGAATTGCCGCTTTCTATCTGATTGGAGTTTTGTCAGCTCATTTCGGCTTTCCTCGATTTTCTTCTCGTCATATATAAAATCACGTACGACGAATCTGGAAACTACTTTATACGACGCAAAACAAACCTATGTTCACGTGCCTGAGCTTTGAAATCATCGATCATTTTTTTGAAAAGAGTAACACTCCATAGTCCACTGTCTTGATCTTCAAAAATAAGTCTTAAGGAAATAATTGGTAGATGCACGAGTTACTCTGATGATTTGGGAACCACCATCTCTGTCATGGTTTCGTAATTAGATTTCCATTCGTTATAGAGATTCCTAAGCATAAATTCATGAGTAAAGAACGTACTTTGGAACAACTACAACCAAAGTAGCCAAGTATTCTGAGTCAATGATGAACTGATCTCTTTTAACAAGATCTCCAAGTTCACGTGTTAGAAGACTACCACTAAAAGATATCTTATAAGTGATGACATAATTCACCCACGTTTGTTTACGCTCCAAATTTTGAATGCAACCTTTTAAAGTGTTGTATGCTTGAGATTTAACTTTTAGGTCTGAGTCAATTTTTGTAAGTTGCTTGCAAATGAAATTAATCGACAGTTGTGAAGATGAAAATACCTCTGAAATAATAGCGTACAACGAACTCAACGTTTGCCTGACTGGATATTTAGCATAGTCCCATTGGAACTTAGTTAAAAAGGAGGAAGGTGACACTAAGATGCTAGGAAAGTAAACGCAGACTCACAGCCATTTACAGTTAAGTTGTCTTCTAGCTTGTACTTCTGGTCTTCTAATACATCTCCAATGTATTGAGCAACTTTTTTGGTGATGCTAAGGACCGTTTTTGAACCTATACAGCACGTACCCTTCTGCATAAATGTCTAATTTTGACAACTCATCAGAAAGACCGACCAAAATATCTAGCGTCCCCACCTAATAACATGTGAAACAATAATGCTCGGTCATTTATACGCATAAACCTTGAAGTCAGGAGGAATATTGAATTTAACGACCTGAGAACAAACATCTCTGTACTTTGATAACGTAGTCTGAAGACGTTGGAACACTTGATCTGGATCTCTCTCTCCAGGGACAGATATTATCCAAAGCTCCGTCATTTTAAAGTCTTCAAATTACCCTCTAAACGTTAAATGTCCAGTTGCCGAATTCTTCGTCATTTCATACTTCGGGATCGGTTAGAAAGCATGAGACCATGGGTCCTAGATTATCAGGTTCTGACTGTTCATTTCTTGTCTGAGTCAAGTGATGAGGTACACATCGCTTTTTCGATAAGTTAATCTTTGAAAGTTGAATACTCTTCTCACAAACTATAAGTGCGTCGCACTTATAGCTCATCCTGAGATTTTTCAGTTTGTGATTATGATTCCTCAATAACGACTAAGAAAGATCAGGTCCGAAGTCATAGGATTCACAACAATTTGGATCGGAAATAGCTTCAGCTTGTCAGATTCGGATTTGTTGTTTGAGGATGGGAGGCTGGGGGCCCATATTAACCCTTTTCCAGTATATTTCTGGGCTCATACAATCCCCTTTCGAACGAGCCAGTTGATGATGCGGACACCACTTCTTCTGAGAGTTGGTTTCAGGTGTTGATTTCTCGACGCGAGAACCAGTTCTCTGTGGAGACTGTTCGTTCTTTGCTTTTGTAGTCTCCTACTATATCCTTCGAGGTGTTCCGATCTAGTGGAAAGGAAAAGAGAAGATAGATCAGGTCTGAAGTCGTTTCTCAAAATCCTGTACAACGTGATTAATCCCCTCTATCCGCGACAGGACAAGGTGAAAAGATTCAGCTTTTTAAACCTATCTTCATGGGTGAGGCCAGCCATCGCAGTGATCAAATGAGTGGCCGCACTCTGAACTCTTTGTAGAAGATTTGCGCCACCTTCCAGATAAAGATTAGCCGTCTATGTGAAGTTTTCTAATTTGGACCTAACTAATGATGTTTATGAGATGGCGAACATGTCACCACTCATTTTCGTAAACCTTCTACGTGATGCTCAGAGGACCCTAAAACTCCGAGCTGCTCCCAATCGACAGTGAGCCGTGGTTTTCAAGTCATAACCCACTGTGACACCAGCCACTTCTCCCACCAGGTTGACTACCTGTTTAGGTCCGTCTGAAGCTCACCTATATCCTCATCCTTCCCAATTTCCCACCAGATTTCTAAATCACCAGCGTGGAAAACCATCGGGGGTTTCAAGATGCTTGGCAGTTCATTTACGTACAGGAGAAACGGCAGGGGGCCCAGGACTGTGACTTGCGGCACTCCACTCTCTACCAACTTCCAAAAGGAGAGTTGAGAACTGATCCTAACTCTTTGTCTACAACCAACAAGAACGTCCCTTATCCATGCGAGCAGAATGCCTGTGATTCCAAAACTTTCCAGTTTCCCGAGCAACCTGGAATGAGGTACTTTGCCGAACGCCCTACCAAAGTCTATGCAAATGACATCTACAGGTATCCTATCATCTTTAGACTTAACCCAACTTTCTCTGACCGTAAGGAGGTCCGTCAAGCAAGAGAAATTTCTACGAGGACCGTGCTGTTAGCGAGACAATAAAGTGATGCTCTCTAGGTGGACTATGATGGCTTTCTTGATTACTCTTTCTAGGATTTTCACTACAGCACTAGTCAAACCTAAAGGTCTGCAATTTGATGGGGACTTTCTAGAACCTGCCTTGTGGGTAGGTGTTACTATGGCATCCTTGCAGTCTTATGGGAGTGTGCCTTCACTGAGACAGTCTGAATATGGTAGCCAATGAACCGACTACATAGAGTACAAGCTGTCTGAGCAGCCTCGGGTGCAGATCACCCGCTCTCGTCGATTTCTCCTCGTCGAGGTTGATTAATATCCGAAATACATCATCTCTATCAACATCCCCAGAGTTTATTCTGTTGGATGTCAATGCCTCAACTGTCCACAGAAGATTCAGGTGTGAAGGCAGCAAAATATCCATCCATGGCTTCTGCTTTTCCCTATCAGCCTCGACCAAACGGTCAGCTTCGGCCTCACTGATCAGGGTGGGTACACCATGACACATATTATTTCTGTGGTTCATGTAGGAAAATAATCTCTTTGGATGTTGCAATGCAGCCTGGGCAAGACGTGTTTCCAAGCCTATTGGAGACCGGCGGATAGAAGTGGTACACTTATTTCGGGCTTCTTTGTAATGCTTCACCACTTCGGTTGCACGGAGGTGGGTGGCAAGACTCCAGTAGTTTTCCTTACGTCGTGGTAAGGCTCGGATCTCGTGGTTTATCCACAGAGGACAGCGTTTCTGTCCCCTCGGGATGAACCGTTGGGCCACTCGTGCACACAACTGTTTGAAGGAGCACGGTGCACCTTCAACTGAGGCTTCCGAATTGACTACCGAGCCCTCTGATGAGGCTGCCAGGTAAGTAGCCTCCACACTCGCTTTCCATATGTTGGGTCTAGCTGCAGCATCGCCCTGGTACAAGACGCCTGCTATGAATCTGAAGATCACAGAGTGATCACTTTTGAAGAGGTGGGCTAGGTGCCGGATGGAGCATACGTCATCTGCATGTGAGAATACTGAGTCCATAACTGATGCAGTACGCTGACGATCATATCTTGTTAGTGCCCCAATGTGTCGTTTGAGGGCTGGGAAGTTGGTGTTTCCACTAACCTGTGGTCAAACGAATTACGTGGTGCTTTTGTTGTCAGTCCGTCCCGGCCAACTGATGGTGCGTTGAAGTCTCCTACAACTAGACATCGGCACTCGTCTGTCCAGAAGGCCGGCTTATTCAGGAAGATGTCTGCTGCCTCACACACAGGCCTTCGATATATTAAGATTACGTTGACATCTTGTCACTTGCATTTTAGTCGGCAGCGCAGCATCTCACGTGTCCCACTTGCATATGCAACTGTCGCTATGGATCTTGCAGTCAAGGCATTCTTAACACAAGGGATGACACCACCACCTTTGCGTGCTAACCTGTCACTTCTAAAGGGGGCAAATCCCCATAAGCGTGCTTCACAGTCACTGATCCAAGGAGAGAGCCAAGTTTCTGAGATAGCAGTGATGTCAGGGCCTTCGTTGCTTGTCATATTACTAAGCCCAGTCCACTTGCTTAAAAGATTGCGTGCATTCGTGCACAAGACGATGAAACTACTTAAATGAGTTCCCGTTCTATCCATAGACACTTCGGCATCGTTTGTTGCCAAAACCTCACCACATGAAAACCAACTACTTTCAGATCTTGTCTTCCAGCTGCCAATCTGCATTTTAGTTCCGCTTCTGCTCCTCATTTTTTGATTCCATCAGCAACAGCCAGATCCTTGATGCCCATGAGCGCTGTTCAGAATATGGTCCCTCTCATTTGCTGACTTGGATATGACATTAAGTGGTCGAAACTTGCTTTCAGTAATTACTATCTCCTGTGTTCCTATTCTATATATCTTGAGTAGGGTGACTCCTGGCATGTTTTCTGATAAAAGCCGGCCTATCCAACCTTGTGCTTTGCCAAAGTCATGTTCGAAACGTTTGTGTGGTTCTGGGTCTCTCTGTCGAAGATCTCTACTTTTTCCTTGCTCTGTGAAGTGTTGGTAACTGGTTCAGGGAATGTCATTACCCTCATGACATGCCCTTTAGAATCAGTTACCTGCTGTTTTTCAGAGTTGGGTATGCAAGGTTTACTGAAGCTTAGCCCGGTGACCCTAACACTGAGAGCCTCAGAACGGACCTGTATCCCATTCTGTTTAGTTCTTGTCAATGATTGGGTCGCCGAGCCGGGCATGACCTGCAGCCCTCATGGTTCCGCTGTTGGCACTGAGATCGCTTCACTTCTGTTTCTTGCATCTGAAGTGAACCTAGTCAGTTTTTAGACTGGGTCCGCCAGCTCTGGGGATGCGGGAACCCGAAGACACTCGCTTCACTTTGCATGGTGCGGTTTTTTCCAAGTCGCTTTCGGCAAACCTAGTAGGTTTTCTGCGCGCCTGACTTACATCTTGCCACTGCCGTCGTTCTACAAGCCAAAATGAACAAGGGCTCCACTGCTTGGAAACCAATCAGAGTGCTGTCTTGTGACCACTGTAAGGTCATTTCCCGCCATCTTCGTGGGCCATATTGGACAATTGGTCTCGTGCTAACGGGTGTTTTGTTGATTTATAAACATTTGCGGACGTAGTTGAGGTTCTTATTTTTAATTTTTACTCAGTTACGCTCCATTTATGATACTATCTTCGTTGGTTGCCCGTTTCGTTAACCGCTTTTATTGTTCGTGGTGTTTCGGGATACAGGCCAGTTAGGAAAGCGCGTTTTTGCATATTTGTTCGTTTAAATGTATATTTTCGTGTCATGTCGATGGGTTAATGTGAATTTATCTGCGTTATGTTGTTCTGGTTGTGTAACACGCCGCTCAACTGTTAAAGAGGCCATGATGCTGCCTGTGCTGCTTCTAATTCCAAAGTCACTTCAACGTTGCACTGCTCCTGCACATCGCGGTGGTTCATATCGGTACTCTGCACGGTTTAGTAGATCTCCTGTCTGTACAGAAGAAAATTTCGGAGCATATATCGCTTCTTCTTCTTAGAAACTTAACTCATACCCCTCTTCTGAAAGGCTAACGAATACCACCCTCAAGAGGCGCCCATTTGGCTATGCGGAGTGGGACGCGAGAAATTGCTTCTGAGAAAACGGGGGAATCAAAATGAGGACTAACTTAAAGTCATTTGCCTGTTTTACTTTATTTATTCACGAACTAACGCTTCCAACTTCGGGTCGATAGTTCTGCAACATGCTTTACCTAAACTGTAAAGAAACATTTGCCAATAACTATCATATTTGTCACACGAGTCTTCGTTAGGCCCTCTTTGACTGCCGGCCATTTTACTTGTTTTTTGGTATTAACGAACCCAATAAACGAGTAGCTACTACTTCTCAACCATGGCATAGTCCGGAAACCGTATATGCCGTGCATGCACGTAAACTCAATCCCAGCGTCTCAACCAAAAGAGCACTTTCGCTAACTGGTTTAACATCAAGTCCTAGGAGAGGCCATGAAGTTAGGGTACTCAATTTTATACCGGAGCCATAAAACACTTCCAGTAAAAGAAGGCGGTTTGATAACTTTGCAGAAGCCACTGCAAGGCATGAACGCCAAGCTTGAAGTTATC